CAAACAGACCGAAAGGAGTCGTGATAGCAGTTTTTTTCGATGTCTTCAAGAGCGACTGGGATCTGGTGATATGCTCGTACCAGATCGATTTTAGAAAAGATAGTCGTGCCCTTGAGCGATGCCGTGATGTCGTGTATGTGGGGGATGGGGTAGCTATCAAAGCGCGTAACTACGTTTAATGCTCGGTAGTCGCCGCAAGGTCTCCAACTAACTCCATCCTTTTTGCGCACCATGTGTAAAGGAGAGGCCCAAGGACTGTGAGAAGGACGAATAATACCAGCAGATAGTAAATTGTCAAACTCACGTTTAGCGAAAGCTAATTTGTCCGGTGCCAGTCGGCGTGGTCTTGCCGTGACTGGTGGTCCGCGGGTGACTATGTGGTGTACCACACGATTGGTCACCGATGAAATCTCCTCGAGTGGTTTAGTTAATCTGGGGAATTTCTCGAATAAGGCGTGGAATTTATCGTCACGCGAATAAAAAGTGCCGAGGATTCGGTACGCGTACATCGGAGTCTATTATATTAATACTATTCTTATCGTTATCCGTCATGTCAAATATATATATTAAAAATTAATATGAAAATATATGACAGACGTGGATAGATAAAACAATAGACTCACCGAATTGCCTTCTTTGAAAGATTTGACCGAGGTTGAGGCGTGTTCCAATATTTGGGTCACCAAATGTAGCGTGGTGTCGAGTTGAGCTGAACTATGAACACCGCTACCAGACTACTTGCCAATAGACCAATAAAATTCCGATAGGCCAAAATATCAGAAGGCAGATGATTGTAGTAGTCGTATATATTTGTTGGCGATCTCGTGGTATCGAAAGAATACCGAGATCGTGCCAAAGGAGTACAAGCGTGGTTACTGAGCGTAACCGGATTCGTACAAGTTCGAAGTCAACGGGATAGTAAGTATAATGGCTGTTATTAGCACAGTTAAACAAACGAGCACAGTAAAACAGTCACTGGTACAATTGGTTATAATAATAATTGTTTTCATCGAACCAATCGCGTTCTGTTGACAAAAGTAGGTCACTACACTATCAACGAATCTCGGTGGATAACCATTTTTGATGAGGGTCTGTTGAAGATGAAACAGTTCCCCTTCTGTTGTGTCGTTGGAACAAATTCGCTTGATCCTCGAGGATAAACAGTGAATTAAGTTCCTCTTTCTACTTAGTGGAACCCAACTATGGAAGTTCATGTATTGTCCATTCCAAGTAGGTTTTCTATTTATAGATCTCTGTAAAAAACCATCAGGCATTCTTTTTAAACGAACATCAAGAAAATGAAATTCATGGTTTGCTTCTGCTTTTAAAGTAAATTGGATTGATGGGTGACAATTATTGAAAATATTCAAGATTTCATTGAGGTCCATGTCTTCTTCACAAATAATGAAAGTATCATCCATATATCTCTTATATAAATGCAATCTCTCAATTATTGGTCGAAGTACCGAATTTTCTAGATTAGCCATGAAACAATCAGCCAAGAGAGGACCCAATGGAGAGCCCATTGCAACTCCATCTACTTGTCTATATAAAACATCATTAAATCTAAATTGCACGTTGAGGGTACATCGTAGAAGTAGTTCTCTAAGATAATGTTTTGGGATACACATATCAAGATTATTGTTTTCAATATAATCACATAAAAAACAAATTGTTTCTGTGAGAGGAACATTTGTAAACAGAGAAGTTACATCTAATAACAACATTTTCTTACCGGTTACGTTGATATTTCTAATTGAGTCGACAAATTCAAAGGAATCAAGAAAATTGTATTTATTGATATGATTTTTAACAGTTTGTAAAATGTCAACTAACCATTTAGCGATCAAGTGATAAAATGAGTTGTTCATATCAAGTATAGGACGTAGTGGGACATTATTCTTATGAACTTTTGGGAACCCATATGATCTTAGTTTAACGGAACTCGATGGTTTGAGGTGTGCATAGAGGTCACAATTGATAATAGACTAATCTTTCATTTTCTTTAAGATTTTAATTAACAGAAAGGGAACTGTTTCATCTTCAACAGACCCTCATCAAAAATGGTTATCCACCGAGATTCGTTGATAGCAACCTGGCACCTAGACTTCATGACAAAGCAACGACAGTAGAGAAGAAAACTCTATTTATGAATATGGAATTTAAAGGAGACACGGCTGCTGAAATCCTAAATAAAGGGATTTCGAAATCGTTGAATAAAACATTATACGCAGCCAAGCTCCGAATCATTTTCTCTAGCCGACCTACCATTTTGGGATGTGTTAAAGACAAACTACCGTTTTGGGCCACATCAATGTGCATATATAAATTTACTTGCTCATGTGGAGCACGTTACATAGGCCGCACAAAGCGTTCATTGTCTAAACGTATCTCGGAACATTATCCGGCCTGGCTCTTAAAAGGAGAACGTAAAACGATTACTAGTTCGATACAGGAGCACTTAATTAATTGTGGACACATAGCTCCAAAGGACTCTTCATTTAAAGTAGTCTACAGAGTCAAAGGAACTGGATCGAAGGGGGTTCGAATCAATATTTTATGCACTGCTGAGGCATTGGCAATCCACAAACTCAAGCCTGAACTTTGCGTGCAGAAACGGTTTGTCCAACCTATCATTCTTCCTTGGCCCTAATTCCCTTAACGGGAATGTTTCTGTGGTGATGTGTCTTTTTTTCTGTACTTTTATCCAATTATTATCGATATTTTTTTTAAAAATTACTATATTACATTTTAAACTCTAATCAGTTATTATTATTACCTTATACAAGTTTTCTTGATTATTATTCAGTTTATTATTATGACCTTTGCTGTTTGTCGCTTCTCTTCATATCTGTCAATTGGACTATTATCTGACCCACAAATTTTGTTCTTCCTTACCCCTTGATTAGTACGTTAACCCCATTTGTTATTTATTGTCGAATTCACTTTTGTGATTCAGTCCTTTATATCCTCCAATAGACATACATTTTTCAAATAACGAATGTACAGCTTAAGTAAATGATTTCCTCTGAACTTACTAGTGAAGTTCCCACATTTAGTCAGTTTTATCGGGAGACTGGGCACTCACACAAGGTTAAAAAACAAAAAAAAACACGAGCTGTTGACCTCTTTTCCCTAATGTGCAAATATAAATCCGAATCTTGGATTGGAGATTGAAGACCGAGGGTCAGCTTCATCAACCGCCGTTTTCATAATTTTGACTGAAAAACTCATGTCGACTTTCTTGTAAGTCTTCAGGTTTTATTAACATCTTAAAAGTAATATTGAGGAAACTTTACAGTGTTCTTTTGATTCAAGTTTAACTTAGGTAGTCAGTGAAGTCCTCGTTGATCAGTGTTCCTTCACTGACGAAGAAACTATTCTTCGGAGCTTTTAAATTTATAATTTCAGACCACTCGTTGCTCATAGGTTCGTGTTTTTATTGGACAACAAACCCTACTGCTCGAAGTTGTCTAAAACCATTTCAGTCACTTATTACTCTGTTCAAAGTGTTGTACAGCCTGATTTTGTTTGTGTTTTGTTATTGTAACGGAACAATAAAGATTACCAATGGTTTTAAAATGCAACAATCCTTGTAGGCTTTACGCCAGCAAATTATATTTGGTATTCCGGAAGACAAGTATTGAAATGCAGCTGCTTAATATGCTTAATTTAAGCTATATGGATTGAAAATAAATGGTCAACGTATATTCTGCCTTCGCGTTCCACTTTATGTAAATCTCTGGCTTCGATTTTTCCAGACATAAACAGCTGTCAGTTTTTTTTGTATTGGTTCTTGCAACTGGGGTCTTTGTAAAAGTCGAGTCTGATTTTCGAACGTTAATCGTTGTCTCCTTATTAGTTCTAATTCACTTTTTTTGATGCAGTTAGTAATACTAGCTAGCTTCACCTTCACAAAAGCCCAATATTTTCAAGGATACAAGTTTTGGTTTTTCATTCACTTTAACCGATTCGATTTATTTCGTTCTCCATTTCGAGAAAATCCATACGCTTGTGTTACTCTTAACATAAGCTCGTTTGGATTCCACCAAATTATTGTACCTCGGGTATAGACTAGATGTCCAGTTATCTAACAAGAGCTGGTATATTATGCGTTATCCCACTCTATAGGTAATTATCTAAGAAATTTCATTCGCTGCACCAGACGCATCTTTTAGACATTACCAGTGAGCTATATTGGTTTTATTTATTTTATTTTATTTGAACACATAAATATTGGTACAAGGTGGCACCAAATATATATCTGCCACACTTCGTCATCTGATTTATGTAAGGACTGGAATACTACCTGAGCGCTCAAACCGAAGCAGGTGGTCTTTTCAGGAGGCCACCCCCAAGCCTTTGACCTGGAAGTATTATCCACAAGACAGTGGAGCAACGTTAAGAGATGCAGTCCCACGGTAGCCAGTAATCAACAATAGGTTGGTGCATCATCAGTTCCCTCGGGATCCTGAAGCGTATATGCACCATTGGTTTGGAACCGGGGTTTTCTTGCTCTTCTAAGTGGATCCTTTGTATCCACCAACTCGGTTAAAGCGTTGGACATTCGCCTTTCGTCCTCTGAATTTTGTAAACAACACCCCACCGCGAGAAGTATGTGAGTAGGATTTTCCTGAGAGTGTCTGTATACGTGTGGTTATGTGAGCATTTCGTGAAGGAGAGCAGACTCTCCCCACCCTCGATCATACTAGGGCATTTACAGGCGTTTGGTTTCTTAAGATTGTCATTGGGTGTAGTTAGAAATCTTAGATAACGTAAATCTAACTAGGTCGTAGAAATGCTGACCTGTCTTTATATCCTGCTGCATTTCCATCTTAATGTCATTTTATACCTTTACTTTCTACTTACTCCTTTTCACTACCATTGATATCGTATTACTTCCAAGGTTTGGCTTGGTGATATCAAACAAAGCTAACAATCAGTGGATCGTTTATGATAACAAAATAATTTGTTTGTAATATCTCAACGAGTAGAAAGCAGAATTTATGTAGTTCAGAAGCTTAGTGTGTCTCTTTTAAAGAAGCTGATCATCTGCGCATCATTCGTTTGATTGTACCGTCGGTTTACTCCTGACATCTAGTGGAGTTTTAGTTTGATAGTTAACAATTTTCATCTACAACTTTCATAAATCCTACTTTGTTTTTGTCTACCTGATACCGTCCGTATTACTACTAAATTTCTTGCAGAATTTCAGTGAGTCGATAAATGGGAAAGAAAAAGCTCAGCAACACACAGCCCTCGTGTGATTTTTCTTTCAGTAAACATGGTTTGGAGGATTTGGAGTCATTATATCCCACGCTCATAAAAGGTAATCTCTTTTACAATGGTTTACTCTTGCAGTTGCCAGATGTAATGAATTGCCCTTACTGGATTTATCTTCAATTCAAATGGATTTGGAGCAAATTCTGGCTAGCGTAGTAGAGCGTGTTATTTGTCTAAAAGCTGAGTCCAAAGGGAAGGGTTTACCTGTTAATCTCATTTCTTCACTGAAATGTCAAAAAGGAGGCTGTGAGCCTGAATCTAACCAACAATGCCTCTCGAAATCTTCGTTGGTTGTTAAAGCTAATCCTGACAAACCACTTACTTTAATAATATCTCAGCGCTCAGGTCCTTCTCCGAATTCTCAATCAATACTACCTGCTATTTCTAGTGGACTTAGCAAGGTCAAACCTTCAGTGAGTGCATTCGGCCTGCGACGGTCCAGCAGGGTAAGATAATATTTGAATCGTTTCATTTGTAAATTCTTTTCTAATATTTGATAATATATCATTATTCTAAAATAGGACTTGATTTCAGTGTTTCCTTATATGAGATTGTTAGATTTACTACAACGAAGCATTGATATATGTTAGTGAAGTAATTCAGTAACCAAATATGGATTTGTGTACTCGTGGTTGACTCACTTTTTGCGTGAAAGTGGGCGATAATCCCGGTTACACAATCATATCATTTTAAAACTCAACTCGTTTTTGGTTTTGCGAAATTCTCGTTCCTTGCAAATAATATACAGAACTACATCTAGTGATGTCAAAAGTAAGAAGTAAACTGAGTTGGTAGTTACTGAGTTCAGTGAACAGTTTCTTTTAAATAAAGCTGCAGCTGTTCTTGTTCGGGTCGTAATGAGCGTAGAACTTCAGATAAGTAATATATTGGTCGATACAAGCTCAAATAATACTGTTTGTATGAATTGAATCATGGAAGCGGAAAATGAATAGATATATAGTAGAGTTGTTCCCAAAATTTAGCGGGAGATAATACTTCCATATATCTATATCGCTACAATCGATTTTAATTTACATCAATGTAAGGTCCGAATTTGCAAGAATAGAATATTATTTTAAATCATGGTCACTATCAATACTAAACACCGTTATAGGTATTTCATAACAAACGCTAACTTTCGTCTTCTGAAGCTGCAGTAGTTAGTTGAACGAACATAACTTTGCTACATATAATAGTAGGACTGTAATTTTTTCTAAACGTAGCACATCAATTAAATATTTTTGATTTGCGGTTTTTTGTTGGTTGTGCTTTAACACGAAGGCGATCCATCCACCTTTTCAATAGGGATATCGATCTTGATACACCAACTGTCGCCAATTCCATTCTTTTAACCTGCGTTATGATGTATTTTCGATCACTAAAACTATCCTAAATGACAGGATAGTTTCGGATTTTCTAGTAACCATGAAAGATTTTGATCTTTTGCTATTAATTAGTGGCAACATGAAATAAACGATGTTTTGTTGAATTCTTTTATTCTATTTTTTAAAATATGCGGGATCCGCTTCTCAGTCATCACCTTCAATACATAGTTTGTTGTCGCGTCTTCGTTTATTATAACATATCGAACTTTTACTTCAAATGGAGGGTGATTGAGTAATTGTGTTTTACTGACAAGGTTGTTTGATGAATAGCCCGTACTAATAACAGTTAGTTTTTGACTATCTTAGGAGCTTGTTATAATTCTGTATACTTTTTTTCAGTCATCCGTTGAAGAAGCACCTGAGCCGAATTCCCCCACATCTGATAAGAATCAGTTGTCTGCAAGGTAATGTTTTTGCTGTTACAGTCTTTTTTATATTACAACTCACAAATAACCACTTAAAAAGTGATTACGATTTTTCTTTTTCTTTTCACTGTTGGATAATGTTTTTGTCAGTCGGTTGTCTATTCAATGAGTATTTCCTCATAAGTTTTCAGTCCCAGATTATTATTATTATTATTTTAACATATAGGTATTGGTACAAAGAGGCACCAAATACATATGCGCCACACAGATCTCATTTGATATGTGTGAGGGCTGTGATACTGCACGGGTGCTCAAACCGAAGCAGGCGGTTTTCTTAGGGGGCCACAGCCCGAGCCTTCGACCTGAACGTCTGACCCACAAGGCAGTGGAGCATCGTGAGGAGATTCAGTCCCATGGTAGTCGGTGACCAACGATTGGTTCACACGCCATTTGTTCCTTCAGGATACTGGAGCCAGTCCATGTGCACCGTTGATCTGGGATCCGGTTAAAGAGCCGGACATTCGCTTCTCGCCCTCTCATTTTCGTAAACAACACCCCCGCCACGAGAAGGCAGTGAGTAGGACTTCCCTGGCAGAGGCTGTATACGCGTGGCCATGTGAGAGCATTTCGAGAGGGATAGCGGACTCTCCCCACCCTCGGCCGTACCAGGGCATTTGGGGGGTCCCAGATATTAAGAAGAGGAACCTTAGCACCTACTGCTAGCCAAATTATTGATGTTTATATCCATATTAGTAACTAGATATCTTTCTGTTGATCTATTTGGCATCACAAAGATACTATTCTGTTCATTTCACTAAAGAAATTCTTTTTATTTGTTTCCTACTACTTGATTGAGCCCGAACAAAATCTTTGTATTTATTAATCATGATCCCAAATGTCCCATGGATTTGCGGTTAAAAAAGACTGGTTTTCTACTTATCTCAGCTTCTGAACTACAAAAATATTATTTTATTCAGTAAACGTATATGAAGTATGATAATGTAACCTCAATAAGTGTAACAAATACAAAAATGATTTAATGTTGGTTAGGAGAGAAAGCCCAGGTGGTCGCTCGGATTTCATATGTATATTTATTGACCAGAATCCATCGAGTCTTAAAAAAACATTTCTCTAGAGGTTTCCGATGGTTTCTTTTTCTAGTCTTTTAGTTGTGATTTTATGAGGTAGATGAAATGTATTTAAATACTCATATCTGACACTCAATCATCTTTTGTTATCATGTTTAGTGAGAACGTCATGACTTGTTTCCTACAATTTAACTCTAAACTATTTAAGTCTTCATACCATATGCCTTCAACCGACCACTTCTACCTTTCCGATCACATATAAAACTAACTTGATGATATATAACAAAAAGTATCACGGTAATATATATCTTAGGAGACTGTACAACTTATTTAATAAATTAACTGAGTATCCACATATATGATGCTTTATTCCATTAGAAGAGCTATTTCCATCAACAGAAAAGTATACACAAATAAAAGTTTATACTCTTTTCTATGGCTAATTTTATTATCAAAAGAAGTAAGCTAACAAAATCTTTCAGGCTAGTTTCTTACTTTTAATACTTCCAGAAACTGAGCTTCATATATCGGATTTTTATTATATGCCGTTTGTTTTCGAAGAAAAACTCATATTAGCTACTATGGCTTACAAAGTAAACAAAGCAAGTTAGATGATAAGTCAACATCCACGTTCAATTCTCTCTTTTCTATTTTCCAAACTATGTAAAAAGTTTTTATCATCTCTAAAATGACTTATTTTTTCACTAAGATACATCATAAAATCCACTGTATTTTCCGTAGACAAACCAAGATTACAAATTTTGTATTGTTGCCGATTCAAAATAAATTAGAGTACATTTCGGGACTGTTTAGTACGAATAAGTAAGGCCATAACAAGAAGTCTCAAGGCAATGGTTTTCCCCTTCCATAGTTCCTTCAAACTTGAAATTCAGATAAAATACTTTTATTCACCAACTAAGATATAGTAGAGAAAATATGTAGCTCGTGTGAATATGTTCAGTATCCTTGTGTACTCTAAATTGAATAGGTTTTATCGTTACTACACCAAGTTATCAGTACCTGCTTAACAGAAGTGTCAATTTTAAAACTATTCTATAAGTGTCACAGCAGAAAATATGTACTAACACTATTGAAAAGAGTCAAATTTCACAGAAACACTCAAAAAATTAGTTATCCACGTATGATAATGTTAGCCAGACACAGATTGGATTAAACGACGATTGTATTGCTGAACGCTGATTGGCTATTTCTTGTCCAATCAGCACTAGTCGATACTTGGATAAACTACTAACGTTTCTCTTATTGTGCTTCTTACTTCCATCTACCTTGTTATTTGGAATATAATTTCGTTCCTGTCCAACCATGTTCTGATTTCGGGACTTATCGAGTGAATTGATGTCCAAGAATACTAAGCATAAGGAATAGCTGGATCGTAATAAGAGAAATTATAAAAGATAATCCTAAGATTTTTCTCTTTCATTTAAAATAGACTCTATCAGTCTTCTTCAAAATGGTACTGAGAGTGTGTCAATTGAACTATAAAATTCAATGAACTTAATGTTATGATACACACAACGTACAACCTGACACATGTGTTTCGGTTCGAGTTTTCATACCATATTGGCACATTAGCATAAAAATATTTAAATAAAAATCTCAGAGTAGTAAATTTAGTAACAGTATCAGTGGTATTAGAAAAGATTAGGTATAAAAAGATGAGATTTTGGGACTCGGGTTCTAGAGAAAGATGAGGAGTGGAAGCAACTTCTCCATTGCGAACTATTCGTATCCATGTCACTCAATATCTCACTTAGCTTTCTTCTAGCTTACTCTTATACTAAAATATCCTCCGTCGAAAACACAATACTATCGAAGATTTACTCACTTAGAGCTAAATAGTTATGCAAAGTGAACTTTTTGAAACCTCTACCGTATATTAAATTTTATTTCAAGATAATAAAAAGTGCATTTCTTGGTCATCATTCACAAGGCCAGAAAATAAAATGCCTTTTTTCTCAAATATCAATTTCATTATCATTTAATCATATGATGTAAAACAGAAACTTAATAATCTTTCATCACTAACAGGTCACTTCATTTAACAATTTTTTTAAAAGTTCACAATCAAAATTATCTAGTGATTACAACATAAAACTGTCATGTGCTAGTTATCCATCTACATGCTATAAATTTTGATTATTGAACAACTATGTATGTATCACTTGATTTCTAAAATATTGTTACATTTCATATTACCATGAAGTAATATTGTCTAAAAGTGATTTGATTAATACTCTATAAGTGTGTATGGAAACCGATAGCTTTAAAAATTTTTATAAAAAATAATTTCCCTTTTAATGACATGTTATGTTCCTTAAACACTGTGATCGATGCTTTTTTTATAACCATTTATTAAAACTCCCGTCGTAAAAGACTAGATTAGAGTAGACTAAAGAATGATCGCTGTACAAACCGTATAGGTAATAAAAACACTTCCTCTCATAATTTAATTTACAAACTGATTTGTTGATTTATTAAATTTGTTTACATGCATCAATCCAGCGTTTTCTATTCAGTTACTTTTTAATTTTTTTTATATCGTTCTATAGTTATGCTATTCCGAATAAATTCTGGGAATTAATGGAACCATATTGTGCTGAAATAACGGAGGCGAATGTCAGTTACTTAGAAAGCCTTATCCGATCATATCAGCATTTGGAGTCAATTTACTTTCATTTGCCTGTACTTAGACAAAGTGAATCATGTAAAAATGAAACCAACGAAGCACCAGGTAAGCCTTAACTGTTGATATGAACTATCCCCTTTATTATTTAATTAGTTTTATTTTTAATATTTTCTTTTCTAATTATCAATCTATACACATTTCATTTATTGTTCATTTGGAATTCTTATTATATAGTTGTTTCATCTTAAGTGATTATACTCATTGGATATTTGTAAAGAACCGATTAATTTAAAGATAGTATTGGCCATTAAATAAGGTTATGACAAAACATTCACTCACTTTTTAAAGTGCATAGGTTCATGAACTCGACTTTAACTTATTCAATCTAAGGGAAAGTGTTAGACTACGCAACAGCTCAAATGAAAGTTATGCTAAAAGCGAAGAGGTTAAAACTGTGATCTATTTGTTGAGTGTCGTAACTATGATACTATCATTCTACAATGTTGTAGTAGAAAGTCATTAAAATACACACAACCATGATTAACTGCCTTCTTCTAGTTCGAGAATATTCAGTAATTTAAATCCAATCCGATAGTTAAATTCCATGTTTTACCTATTACTAAGTTAGGATTATGAATTTATATAGTTAACACTTTTCAAGTTGGAAAGTCTATAGTACAGTAATCATCCTCCATAATTATCAATGAATGACTTTTGCTATCAAGTTGTCTGGTATTTAGATTGATTGAAGTGAACATTTCATGGGCACATTTTCTTTTTTTTATTATGAACTGTATTAATTCAGTAGTATTTAATACTTAGTAGCCGATTATTTTAAATTGCCTGTGATATTATCGCGTTCATACAATCCGAATAGTATATGCTCGAAATTACGCTATCCTACGAAACTAGTAGTTAGATCACATTGGCATCACTATATTTTTGTCTTCTATTTCCAACATAACATAACAATTCTAATTTGTTTTTCTTATCAGCTTGCAAAAGACTTAGGCGTGGTTCTTCTCAAATTTTTCAACAGGCCACTGCAGACGAATCATTATGTTCATTGAATAACTGCAATTCGTCTATGTCCTCATCTCAATTGCTCAATGTAACCAAATACTTGGAAACAGAGCTCAAGTAAGTGTAACACAAATGAAAGTAGATAGATTATTGGTTCTCTTATATAGTTGGCGTTCTGATCCGATGCTTAGATGTATACATGCCTACTGTTAAAACAGTCACTTATTCAATAGTCAATCATCAGCAACTCCTTTTTTTAGTTGTAAGCTGAAGTTACTAATACTTTAATTCAGTCATATATTGACAATATTTTTTTTGGAGAAATAATCTTGTTTAGACATTTCAGTCGAATTCTCATTGATTATTAAACCTTTTGTGGACTCCTGTCAAGATTCATCACTGAATGATTATCCACTCTGTTTTTTTTTACGTGAATTAATACACTTGAAGAAAAGTACGAAAAAATAGAATCCAATCGAAATTATAAGTTTTCTGGTTTTAATAACAAAGCAGTAACGTGACTTCGCAACTAATGGAATTGTCTCATACAACTGTCATACACAGATCCATTCAGTCTTTGTTTCCTCATTTTTTTATTTCTTTTGATCGATAATTTCCTTGTTTATTATTGTACTGTAAACTATATTATTATTATTATTATTATTATTATTATTATTATTAGTATTAGTATTAGTATTGGTATTAGTATTAGTATTAGTATTACTGTCATTATCATTATTATGATTTCAACTCTACCCTTCACCTTATTTACTCCAACTCTTATCGTGCTTATTTGAAGTATATATTTGTATCAGGTTTTAAGTAGTCTATAACTGGCCAACCGATCATCAATTTAATTGTACCAAAATTAAAGGTTATTCTTGTGATTATCTCCGGGATTGCAATTCATTTATTATGTAAACGCCAACTACATATTGACCTTCTCTGAACAACTGGATACCCAATCGTTCACATTTTCAACCTGCATCTATTCGCGGTATAAAGCGATCCTCAACCAATGCCATTGTTAAGTCGGTTAAGGAAAGAAGTCCTAAACTAAAGGGAAACAGCTTTCTATCGTTCCTTGGTCCCCTTCCACTGACAAGAAGTCTCCAAAAACACCACATAAACCAGTTAATTCTCTTTGCTATATCCATAAATAAAAGTCAGAGTTTCGACTTTTTTTCGATATACAAACAAGCTTCTCATTCTCCCATATGTTTGTTGTTCTTGAGGGACTTAATTCAATATCCATCAATCCCTTGATATATATATATATATATATATATATATATATATATATATATATATATATATATATATATATATATATATATACTATTTCAATTCTTTATCATATATGATCGATAAACTGTATAACCATCTTTGCTTATCAGACTTTATTACTCATTTCAGAAAACCAGTCCCTGAATCTTCTATGTTAAATAAAATATCCCAATCCCTTTTGGAATCTTGTTATCAAGACGATATACTGTCAAATTTTAGTGGAAAATTAAATTTCACTACACATCAAGGTAGGTATCTATTTTCTACATTTTAATTAATTTCAATTATTCATTTGTAAACCACGCTTCGACAAATTCGCTTAGTATTAATAATAGATCTTATGAGCAACAAATATTTAATAAGCAGAAGTATAGTTTAAAGACTAAACAATCAGAATCAATATAGGGAGTGTTGGGGTTATGTACAAAATTCACGAATGAGTGACCTTTATCTGATATCACGTAAAATAAAATCAGTAGAAATACACCTGTGTATAGTATTCAGAACATTTAAAGTCATGAGGGAAAATTATTTCCTACCTGTCATGCAATAAACGTGATGTTGCTAAACATAGTAAATGTTCAATGTTTTCTGTGTGCGCAATACAGTACATGGAAATTAATCATATCCCGAAATCTTAATCCTATAACCTAATCTTAACCCTAAATATCGAAATCCTAACCAGTGACTGCGTGAACCCTTAAAAATTTGTTTGTATCCTTATAAGAGTTCAAATAAATTCATCTTCCACACACATGGAGAAGTATTTAGATGGGTTTTTTTTCAATTTAAAGGCAGAACATCATATAGCAAACTTTGATGTATGCATTAATTGTTTAAAATCCGTGTACTTTTTGCAATATTATTGTTCTAATTTGCATTCATCATATCTGTTTTCTGATTGGTTAACAGTTGGCTACAATTCGTCGTGGTTGTTTTAAGCTCGTCTGTACATAATATACGCGAGATAGGATATGTGACCGTAAATTTGTAGAGCAACTGCTTCTCAATCTTCAGTATGTGTGCTACGTTTAGCATTTTTCCATTCATTTAATGAGTGGATACTTCATATAAGAGCATAATTTTTAAAAAGGACTTCGTTTTAAACTTTAACTTTCACAACTTACTTGTTCAATCCAGCAAGTTTGGATATGCTACGGTATCGTGTTCACATAAGTCGACACTCCTAAATGATTAAAATGAAGTCCCTAGTGAAAACTACAATTTTATATCTAGCAGTGACATACCAAACGAACAGAAAAGTGCTCGAAAACGCTAGATATCTTGTTTTTATTGAATATTAAAAAAAGATGGTTATCCTCACACATGTTCTAACTGTTCAAACGATATTAACAGTAAGGAAATAGACATTTTTAACTGAACCATTATAGAATGTCACTACTTATATATTAGCTTTTACTATCCTGTTAGTGTGTATGTGTGTGATACGTATCAATATTTTATCATTTTTTTACCTCATTTCAATTTTGTACAACTTTGGTAATATGAAGTGGGTTTAGATAAGCCTCATACAAAAATTATTTCTTACCAGCGTGTTACATAAACCTGTATGTAGTTTGATAGAATGATTTTTCGTTCATTAATTAATTTAAACCAAACGCCATCTCATTTTTGTTTGATTGTAATCATTGACTAAACTACCGTTTGTAAAGGCCATATTTGAAAAGTAGCCGTAATAACAAACAGACAATTTTCTCACATTTTTGTCCAGTGTATATTTTTAGCATGCTGATAACCATTCGATGTCTGACTGATTTTCCCACTTTTACCATAGCTAATAACACCTATCATAGTGGTACATAACAACAGTTATAATTAAAATCATTATAAAAAACCGATTTTTAGTACTTGGTAAACTCAGTCACTATCTGAGAAGTCAATAACAATATTTTTGACAAATACCTTTTTTATTTAAACACATAAACGTTGGTACAAGGTGGCACCAAATATATATCTGCCACACTTCGTCATCTGATTTATGTAAGGACTGGAATACTACCTGAGAGCTCAAACCGAAGCAGGTAGTCTTTTCAGGAGGCCACCCCCAAGCCTTTGACCTGGAAGTATTATCCACAAGACAGTGGAGCAACGTTAAGAGATGCAGTCCCACGGTAGCCAGTAATCAACAATAGGTTGGTGCATCATCAGTTCCCTCGGGATCCTGAAGCGTATATGCACCATTGGTTTGGAACCGGGGTTTTCTTGCTCTTCTAAGTGGATCCTTTGTATCCACCAACTCGGTTAAAGCGTTGGACATTCGCCTTTCGTCCTCTGAATTTTGTAAACAACACCCCATCGCGAGAAGTATGTGAGTAGGATTTTCCTGAGAGTGTCTGTATACGTGTGGTTATGTGAGCATTTCGTGAAGGAGAGCAGACTCTCCCCACCCTCGACCATACCAGGGCGTTTGGGGGCCATAGAGGTGGTTAGTTCTCAGTGAAAATTTTTTTCTGATTAAAATAGTGATGTACACGTAAAGGCTTCAAGTGATATACCTTTTTCGAACAACAAAATATGTCACCGAGTTATAAACTGTCACTGAGCAAGAAAATTACCACTCATCTTTTTGTTTATTATTAACTCAGTGTGTTCGGATCTTGGTTGTTATGCATTTAAAGCATTTTTGCAACTGTGATAGTCACAAAATTATTTTCATATAGGAGGTACAAGTAGAATTGATTAGTATATTAGTGACTAAATTATCTAATATTTTGTTAAGCTCTTCATGTGTATATTTTTTTAATCTACTGTTCATCTGAGTATAGATAAATGAATAGTTTTAATCAATCACTGTTATTTTCAGTTATATCAGATTCTGAAAAGCTTTTGTCATAATTTCATCATTTTTTTCTATTGAACAGTAAAAGAGAATGAAGTTGAAGATAATCAATCAGGATGTACTGATCCTATTAGTTCCGATTATGGAACTATATCATCTGAAGCTTTCCATGTCAACAAATATAACAATAACACCAATTCGTCAAACACAGTGATAAATTCACAAGTGACGAATTATCCGTCATCAGGATCTACGATAACAAATCACAATTTCTTAATCGACCCACACTTGCTTACTTCACGCGCTAGTGAACCACTTAAAAGTATAGCTAAACAATTACGTGTCAGTTCATCATATCGAGTAGAAAAAAAGATTGCACAGGCGATTGATGAGCTGGGCTTATTTCCCCTTAGTGTTTTACATCCAAAAGTTTCACCTTTGGTTGAATCTAAAGAAGATTGCGATCCTCACAATTTGTCTTCCAGCGCAGTATGTCATAATGCTGTTTCTCATTCGACAAAATTAATTATCCGAAAAAATAAAGTTACTTCATCAAATTCAGTGAAATCAGGTCCATTGAAACATTCAAATGAAGTTCAAGATACTCTTGAGAAAAATCATATTTTCAAAAAACGTCGAGTGAATGATGACAAATCATTATCTCCTTTACCTGAAAATCACAGTATGTTTTTCTCATTATATTTGCCTTTAAAAATATATCGTCTTTGCGTTTGCATTTATCCCCCGACATCTCGATTTTAGTTTCCCCTAGTATTACGTATAACGAGTAGTTTCTGACATTCTGTTTTATTTTTAGTTATCACTTTGTGTCTACTGACGAGTAACATAAATTTTATGCAAAATTTTTAACTACAAACTAGGACACCCTTAGCAGGTTGAACCATATGATTTACGTGTTCAGTTGCATTAAGAAAGCAATTATTTCAAATTCTTTTCACTATAACTATGAAATAATTATATGTGCTCAACCGAACTAGAGAAAATTGAAATCGCACACCGAAATTATTCATAACCTTCCTTTCGATAGTTATGCGGCAATGAAGACGTGAGTTGAAAGACAGTTTTATAATACTGAAATCTTTAGATGCATCATAACTTCTAGGTCTGAGTTCTTATGGACTGTGAAATTGGGTGACTTGAGCTGTTATCAGATATGCCTTGGAATAAAAGCCAGCGGCGATCCTGTTATAGTATTCTACTACTCTTTATAAAAGTGAGATAGATTCCACTAACTGAAATCTTTCGTGGTTATGTTTTTAACTACAATGTATCTCTTATCAAATACTGTTTTCACTCATTTCCTTATCGAATGTATTACTCTTACGCCCATCTTATCACAATATGATCGCTTTATTTCTGACTTATTGTCCCTGGATTCATATAATTCAGTAGGCAATAGCTGTTTTATATAGATTATGAAATTTGAAAAAATCAATGTTATTGAATTCTCCAAGCCAGATGCTTTTCATTGTCGTTCTGGATAAAATAATCAACGCTTACTTCATGTAGAAGTGAGCTTCCTAGCTCCATAAGCCTTAAATCCTTCAATTCTGTTACCCTTTTTCGTGATTAATTTTCGTCATAGGTTTCATTACTTGTATTTTTGTTTTGGGACGAGAAAAATCAACTTGAATATCAGAATAAATAAAAATAATGAGACCTGCGACGACAATCAATCAGAGATAAGGTCAACAAAGCAAACCGATTTAAGTTTCAGAAAATAACTACTCAGCTCACTTCTACATGAAGTAAGCACTCATGATGTGACATTGAATGACTGTCACAATATGTCATATATTGATTAAAGTTAACAAGGCCTGAAGATTCTAAGTTATGTCACTGGTGTTAGGGTCACAATTGCACACTACTTTGTAGTCAAACTAGAACAAAATGACTGTGTAATCCTCTATGTTTTTTAATGGTTGTTTAGTTGCTATCAGTTTGTGGTAAAAACTCATTATAGTCGTCACCCTACATTATTAATTTCATTCACTCATGCTACATAATTTTTCTTTCTAAAATCTGCCGCCCTCCCCTCACTATTCACAAATCACTTAACCGTATGCTATTTTAAATAATATGCATTCATTTGTAAAATCTTCTTTGATATGAACTGGTGCTTTTTTCTCGCTATCTATTCTCAATATAATCTTTTTGTTTAGAAAATATAACATACAATTCATGTTTGAATTAATTGTTTTTATGTCTATGTGTATATGTGCTCATTTCCAATTGTCAATTGGAGGCATTGACCACAAGTTTAATTTATTAGTGATATCAAAGGGCATAGAGATTAAATCGTATTCATACAGACGCCATAGCACTTTATTCGTTTATAGAAATGAAATTTGATCTATTTAAATCAATATTTTATATTGTTCTCTATGTTGTTTTCAACCTATTGTTCACTATATTCGATTAACAAACTAAAAAGTTGTCTTAATGTCTGTGTTGCTTCACTTAGTTCTCGTTGTTTTTCGCTCTCTCTCCCGTGCGCGCGCGCTTTCTCTGATTAACTTTGTTACCATCACTTAAATAAATTCAACAATTCATTATTTATATTCACGTTTTGGGGTTTTGACAAGGTAGCGTTTTGAATAACCTATCAAAAATACTGGGACACAAAATAACTCATTCAGTTCGTGATCTAGCGTATATCCGTAGCTACATGTTCTATTAAAATACCAAATGATGAACAGATTAACCACATATATAAAATAAACCGTAGTGATAGATGAATATAATTTATCGGATGGTTGTTTTTTCAGCAAAAAATTTTTAATCCCGTTTTGTCCAATGAAATGATTAGTTTTAAAATGGTAATTATTGGTTATTAATTTCTGAAAAGTGATATAAAACTTTAACATTCTTCGAGTGATCACATTTTCTTCAAACTATGAACGTAAATACCTTACAAAGCACTAGCAGTATTGTTTTTAACGTTATCACGGACATCGATAACGTGTTCCTGGGTACGTTGCATCCGATAGAGTCTGTCAATGAACATTCGAGCACACATTTTCAAAAACAAATTAACCAATCACTTATTTTTTAATCACACCCAGAAAAATTTGACCACTAGGGTTCAGGAATCAATAACCGTGCAACAAATGTCAGTCGTCGTAGGTTGACTGTCAGTGGTGGAGTTTCGTTCTGTCAGTTGGATGGAGAACGAAACTACCAAAATCAAACACTCGTGCCACAAATTTCTCCACTTCTGCCAGTGGTCGTGTAACGTTTTCTGTTCATTGATATCGCTCAGGTGGATGATTTTGATCCAAGTTATGTTTCGTCCACTTTATGGGTAAACGGTTTCGTTAAAACTTTATTTAAAATGTTACACTTTATTTACCCCATTAAACGTCGGATACGTTATACAACCACGGACGGATAACCTCTTAGTCAACAAAGAATTTAAAATAAATTCTATCTATGGCAGTAAGAAGATACACATAACAAATTCTATCTCAAAAAGAATACGTGAAATTGAATGCTAAAATGACAGAAAATTAGAATAAACTTAAATTAAAAGAAATCAACATATAACTGCTTTTCTGTAACCATTTTACCCGTGTGAACCTCGACTAAATAATACATCCGAGCATACAGCTCAGTAGTATTTACTTTTGAATGAAACTTATTTCACATTGTTCATAAGTTTAGATTGATACTTAACTGTAGTAGTATACATCAAATCATCCACAATTTTATGCCTTGTATCTTTCTAAAGAGAACGCAAATAACGTAAGAGATAAAAATTGGTTATCCGAAATACATTCCCTTTCATAACATTAGAGAAAGGTTCTCTTTTATTCATCGATAAAAAGTGTCGTACTACTACCCTTACTCTTTTTGAAATAAAATCGATCTTCATATGAACTTAGTTCACAAATCATCATTGTTTGATGACTTTCATGAATTATCATCATTCATTTAAATGTATCCATACCCAGTTGTTTCGCCTAAACAACCTGGTCATGAGTCCACTACAGCTGGAGCTTATTCATCATTAATCTTCATACTAAAGTTTTTGGTCTACTTTTAAGTTCTTTCTCTTTCTCCCTATATATATATATATATATATATATATATATATATATATATATATATATATATATATACCTTGTTCCATCCATAACTGATTACATTATTCTCTTCTTACCCATAGGAAATACAACATGTGAACCAAATCCAACAGATATTGAACATTCCACAGAATTATCATTGTTACCTGTGAAAATGGAAAATAACAATCCGATTATCGATAACAATAATAATGGCCGAATTAAATCTACATGTTATTTAAAAAGATTAAAACGAAAGAACTTAAAAATGTCAAAATCATTATGTTATAGAAATAAATTACGAAACACTGTGAATAGCAATAGTACACATAATGAAATTCTATGCAATGGAATAACTCCTAGTTTGAATGATTCGATTGAATCAAACAAATCGGTAATTTCTTACCTGTAATCATATATTGTGCATATTGTTGTGTTAATATTTTAATTTAATCACTGTTTTGATACATTGATTGATTCTATTTTCATTCAGAATAATAATGTCATGAATTGTTTAGCATAATTCTATTGTAGTGAACGTGAACTCAAGTAGGGAAGACCACTTTGTTGTTTAATACAAAATTACAGAATGTCTTCGTGAAATAGGAAAACCACACGTCACAAATACTTCATTTGCATATTTCCCATCAATTGTCTCTTACAAAATTCATCGTTCTTTCATTCCTGTTGTTATTAAAAATACTCTTTGTTTACATTTCTGTTCTCTTTAATTCAATCTTCTCAAACTTCTGCTGCCAGACATTTCACTTCTGATTATTGTTACATACTACTTATGTTGATAGACATAAGTAGCATACACCACAATATTAACTAACTAATTACGGTTGAAAATGGTAAATAACCTCGGTAATTTGACATTTCTAAATCAAGAACTACACAATGTGTATGAATATTGATTATTTGACTAGAAGCCCCCAAATGCCCTGGTACGGCCGAGGGTGGGGAGAGTCCGCTATCCCTCTCGAAATGCTCTCACATGGCCACGCGTATACAGCCTCTGCCAGGGAAGTCCTACTCACTGCCTTCTCGTGGCGGGGGTGTTGTTTACGAAAATGAGAGGACGAGAAGCGAATGTCCGGCCCTTTAACCGGATCCCAAACTAATGGTGCACATGGGTTCCAGTATCCTGAAGGAACAAATGGCGTATGAACCAATCGTTGGTCACCGGCTACCATGGGACTGAATCTCCTCACGATGCTCCACTGCCTTGTGGGTCAGACGTTCAGGTCAAAGGCTCCGGGTGTGGCCCCCTAAGAAAACCACCTGCTTCGGTTTGGGCACCCGTGCAGTATCACAGCCGTTACACATATCAAATGAGATCTGTGTGGCGCATATGTATTTGGTGCCTCTTTGTACCAATATCTATGTGTTAAAATAAGTAATAAATAATTTGACTAGAAAATATGAAATTGTGTAAGATTCCCAACCGCATATTTTAAAACTGAATAACAACACCAATTATTATATTATTAACCCTATCAAACTGAATTGAAAATGTCTTCGTGCGACGTTACTGAAGACTTAAGGATTAGTAGTGTTCTCGTATTTTCCTTTAAACAGATAACTGATAAATTTTCACACATGGGCTCCAATAAACAAAAAATAAATGACATTCTCATTCATTGCCTGCGCTCACGAAATCGTAAAATTTGTTCATTAAATCGTCTAGAAAATAAACTGTCTTTAAAATCCACCTTCTAAGAAAATTCCTGTTTATATATATATATATATATATATATATATATATATATATATAGAGAGAGAGAGAGAGAGAGAGAGTTTTAAAAATGTATGAAGACAAAACCGTCTTCACAGACTAATTACAGTGTTCATAATAAAATACTGTCTATGAATTTAGTGCATCACATCTTTGTGTTAACTACAGTACTTACCATTTTTAATAATACCTCCATACAAAAGGTAATTTGCCACGACTAACCAATCTAATGTGTGTACATGATACCTATTCACTTGTTCCACGGAAGCGTTTGATTTTATCGAGGCCACTCTTTTGTTTTACCTATGATTTGTAACTTCTTAAATACTGTGAATATGATCTTTATTCCCTCCATGAAGAGTATTTTGTTAATTTATAAATGTTATGAACCATCGGTCCCTTTAGTAAATATCCATTTATTCATATATTGTGTGTAAATTGCTCCGAATAACATTTTTCAGTACTATTATTACACCTATATTGTTTTGTTTTTTATTAAATTCAAGGATTGTATTCCTAACTCTCATCCTGATCCAAATCTTCCTAACATCGACACTGAATATTTCAGTGACCTAGATAATCCTCCAGGAAAACACGATCTACATATTAATGTCAGTCCACGCAGTCGTAATAGTTTCACTACTCAACTGTCGACGGAAAATGAAAAGCGACTAATTGATCCAACAAGTCCTAAACAAATCCACCATTCTCTAAGGCATAATCGTTTTTCACCGAACAATTTGTCTGAATCTCATTGTAATGGGGACAGTAATCCTCTATATGGGTCGTTCGAAAATCATGAACCAGTTCTCGTAAATGGTGATTTATCACTATCTGAATTTCACAGTGGGAAATTGACGGAAAATGATAGATTAGGTGATAAACCGAATTCGAATTGTAATACTTTTGAGGGGGATTGTGAAACAGCTCAGGTAAATTCTTCCTATCATTTAAGTTGACTTTCTTAAATATGAGAAACATGTTTCACTTACCTTAACCAAACATGTTGGAAAAATAATCACTACATGAACTTAAACATGGTTGATTTTAATAATAACAAAACATCGCTTAGTCTACATGATTAATCACTGAGTTACTGTGCAGCGTCGAGTCTCATCTTTTAGTGTTACATGAATTTTACTGATGTCCCAGACTATGAACTTAAGTGATCTAGGTTTAAATCCCATGCTGGATATCGGTTTCCTCAAGATTAAAGCTACTCTTTACTGAGCACAAGACATAGTTCTGGAGTTTCGTACTAACACATTGTCTAATTTATAGAAAAGTAATCATTTTATCGTTATGCTTACTCTTTAACGGTTAATTAGAATGCTTCCAAACACCAGATCAATATCTTGAAAAATTAAGTCCAAGGGATTTTATAGTAATAATTAAATACAAAATAAGAGACGAGATTCAGTGATCGGTACTTATATTAGACAACTTAAATGATGACTGGTCTTCCATTGATTGTAAAATAACAGTCGGTCATTTAATACAATACATTCAGACTCAGATTACACCCGATCGTAACAATACATTTCCATTCATGAAAATAAATTGTTTTCAATAAAATTTATAGAGGTGGCTAGCAGTGAAAACCAGGTTGCGTGTTCCGTCTTAATTGAGGCTCATTAGCTGAATATATCTGCATACCAGAATTGACGTTCATTGACCAATTCCAGTCCTCAACAGCAATAGGAAGTTTCGAGCAGCCAATACAAATGAATTAAAAATATATATAACTTGACATTTGCTATTGTCAACATGTATGCTCGAATCCAACCTACTAAGAATAGCTGATTCCTTGCTACCACTCTGTTGATTTACTTTCAATTACATGTCTTTTGCGTTTTTCTGCTCATTTAAATCCTAATAAGTTTAGGTTGTACTTTAGAATTAACCTAGGTTAGATAAACAGCCATTGGAAACCACGAAGTGCTTCACAGCTATTTCATCCTAGAATGGGACTCCCCGGCAGCGTGTACCCACAAACCCATTATGTTAATAATAATCCTGTGATTACTAGTGACAAATTTCGAGCAATATTTCCCGGAGCTCTGGTAAAAAACCGTAACCGAGAAGTCCATTCATATTAGATGTTTGGTAACTATCCATCTATGACACTGTAAGTTGGTTGTGCATCATATCAAATCAATTGCAATCGAAAATGTAGAACATTGGTTACTAGCCTTAATGTTAAGTGCTTATCGTGAAACCTGAAGGTCGTGGGCTGGCGCTGTCCAGGAGTCCCACACTAGGACAAAATAACTATTCTGTCGCTCTTTATCTAATGTTTGTCTGACAGCTTTCAGTTCGTAAAGTAAACCATTCATCCCACTGTAGTTGATTATATATTGGAATAATGGTTCACCGAAGAGCAATTCAATATGAGCATTTCATTCTATTTGAGATTTGTCATTCGGATTTAACTGAGTCATATTGTTAATATTCTTGTTGGATGAAACTTGCTTTATTTTACTTCATTTCGTGAAAGCCATTCACATTTAGTTAGTTTAAGTATCAAACCTTCCTTAATTTTTACAGCACATCGTTTTTGTCATGATAACCTCTATCGTATCTATGAAACACTTTCCAAATTCGTGGTTGACATGTATATAAATTCATTTAATATTACTTTGAAATGTTTATGGAAAACTTAATTTGATATGAATTTTATTCTAAATTTTCCTCAAGGTATTAGATTCCAACTTACACAGTTCCTTAAATCAAAATAATGAACAATGTACTACTCCACTTCAAAATGGTCAACTCAAGTTCAAAATAGATTCCAACTGGACAGAAAGGACAAATAAAACAAATCATTTAACAGGAAAAAGTAGTCATGAAGCTTCTCCTATAATCCAGCATAATGATTCAAAGTCACCAGACTGTGGTATCAACACGGTGATACAAAATCATATGTTCTTTAGTCAAGATACTTCATCAACAGCAACTACACAGTATGGATCTGGTGCTGTTGATGATATTGGCTGGGCTATCGTTCAACGTCAACGGGAATTGAGATTGTTATGCACGGCAAACCATCGAATGCTTCGACGACTCGTACAGGCAGCTAGAAGAGATATGCAACGCCAAGAAATACAAAGGCGTTTAGCGATTGCAGACGCTGATGTAAGTTCAAAGCTGTTAGTTTTTCTGTAGTAAGTTTTGATTATAATTTTGTTTTAGATCACGTAATCCCGGTGCTCACTTGACTAGTTGATTTGCCCAAGAAGATATCAACTCAATGAATCGAGTTTATTCGATAAAGTTTACAAGATTAATGAAATTGTGTGCACTTTCATGTACACGATTACATTAGTTTCATTTACAAGTTTCAATAAAAGAATAACGACAATATTTATAAAGTTTGCATATTACACCGTCTTTTCGATACGAAATCATGACAGAAGAATGTTATGATCCACTTCTCAAACTGCAAAATGACGACACTAAGTAGTATCGTCCTTGCCTTGTTTAAAATTTATGTGTATATATTATGTTCATACAACGGACGATCTATCAAAAGTTACTATAATAACAATTAAGTCTTAAAAAGCCACAAAATACCCTAGTACGCCCGAAGGTGGAAAGAGCCCGCTCGCCCTCTCAAAATTTTCTCTTATGGCCATGAGTATATAGTCTCTCCCATGGAAGTCCTACTTCTCGTGGCGTGAGTGTTTACAAAATTGAGAGGATGAAAAGCTAATATACGGCGCTTGAACCAGGTTGGTAGGCACGGAGCATCCGCCTATGAAAGTTGGAAATTCTTGAATCCAAACCATTGGTCCACTGGGCTCCTGGATCCCGAGGAATAAATAGTGTATGAACCTATTGTTCGTCATCGGTTACCATGAGATTGCATCTCCTAATGTCGCTCCACTGTATCTGAGTGTATCCCCCTAAAATTCCATCTGTTTCGGTCCGGGTGCTCAGGCAGTATCCCCACGCACATAAATTTAGTGATAAATGATTTGTGTGGCACATATATATGTCGGTGCCTTTTTGAACGAATGTTTGTATGTTTAAGTAAATAAAGTCAAACGAAAAAGATATCTCCCTTTCCAAATTAGTTTTACATCGATTTCCTTCAAATAACACTTTATTGTCTCTTGGTAACTTTCCCTACCTCATTTCAACTTACTTACTTACTTACTTACTTACGCCTGTTACTCCCAATGGAGCATAGGCCGCCGACCAGCATTCTCCAACCCACTCTGTCCTGGGCCTTCTTTTCTAGTTCCATCCAATTCTTGTTCATTTTTCTCATATCTATCTCCATTTCTCGACGTAATGTATTTTTTAGTCTTCCTCTCCTCCTTCGACCTTGAGGATCCCATATGAGGGCTTGTCTTGTGACGCAGTTCGGTGCTTTCCTCAATGTGTGTCCTATCCACTTCCAGCGCTTCTTCCTGATTTCTTCCTCCACTGGGATCTGATTTGTTCTCTCCCACAGTAGGTTGTTGCTAATAGTGTCCGGCCAACGGATCTGAAGTATTTTGCGTAGACAACTGTTAATAAACACCTGTATCTTTTGGACGATGGATTTCGTAGTTCTCCAGGTTTCGGCCCCATACAGTAGAACTGTCTTGACATTTGTATTGAAAATTCTAACTTTGGTGTTGGTTGCCAATTGTTTTGAGTCCCCATTTCAACTTGGTGAAACATATTTAGTTATGTGTTATTATATAGACGAAATAAGCTTCTAGTGTTTTTTTAAAATATCATTTTTTATATTATGTTGAATACAACATAGCATAAATCTGTATAAATGAACACTGAATTACTTCGGGAAATAGAATTATAATCAATAATTTTAATGAAATGTTCCATCATTATCTTAATACTTTATTTCATGGGATTTCAATAATATGATTAATAATGAAATACAGTATACATTTACGATAATAAGATTTCATGTAAACTTAAGTCAATTCACCAACGGAGAAATATATACAAATTAATGGACTCGGCTTTGAGACACACATCAGTTTTATGTATGTTGTAATGACACTATTATATTGTTCTGACTCAAGCAGAGATGATAGATTAGCATCCTAACCTACAATTTTTTTTGGGTAAAATGTGATTTCTTCAATCATCAAGTCATTATTTCACATCATTATTTTAACTTATATCGTCATTATATTTCAATAAAATCATTAATACAGTCTTAGTTTACTATGGAATTTTACTTTTGTGAAATAATTCATCAGCGTAGTGGATATACTTTTTTCTCTAGACAATGATTTTTTTCATTAATGTAATTGGTATAACGGATGGTTTAAAATATTTATCTCTCGCTCGAGTATACTGCGATAATATGTTAATACGATAATATGATATGTCATGTTATATCAGATTCAGCATTCACGACCTAGAATAGAGAACCAGAGTATAGATTAAACGAAATTCTGTTCAATACAATCGTAGGCAGTCACTGTCAGTGAGTCCGGAGTAGAAGTCAATAATAGAAAGGAAAATTACACATTTAGTGGTCAGTAGACTAAGTGCCTGTTTGTTCACGCTCAGTGGAAAATCATATTTCATTTTTACTATCACATATCAGTAATCCAATAAACGAGTAAATATTGTTTGTAAATGACATGGTTAATACTTTAAAAATATTTTAACGAATAAGTGAAATAATTCATTTAGACACCATATCTCAACATCTCTATTAAAAGATGCACTAATGAATATTTATTATTTATTTATTTATTTGAACACATAAATATTGGTACAGGGGGGCACCAAATATATATGCGCCACACAAAACAGTGATAATTAGAAGAGAAGGAGAAAAGAGAAGAAAAAAAAAAAAAGTAATGAACGTGGGGAATTATAAAAAAAAAAAGAAGAGAGAGAGAGAGAACAATGGTGGGGGAAACGGAAAGGTACAATCAGAACAGATCTTTCAGTTAAGGAAGAATACGACCACCTTTTTATGAAGAAAGTAAAAGAAGGTTACAGCAGGATCGCCACTGGCTTCTATTCTGAGCCATATCTGATAACGTCTCTAGCCACTGCGTTACACCATCTCTCGGACCCCAACCAGGGAGTCGTGAAGGACCAACATAAGCTAGCCCTTTGCAGCTTTCTTTCATACCACGACACCATGTCATATACTGACCACCTCTCCGCTTTTTCCAACCAGTCCCAGAGTCGGCAAATAATGCACGACGAGGAATTCTCTGGGACGACATTCGTAGAACATGTCCAAGCCACCGAAGTCGGTGTTTCAAGATGGTGACACCAATTTCATTATCGTCTCTGTGACCGAACACTCGATGCCGAACCTCTGCATTACTGACATGGTGTTGCCACTGGATGCCAGCAATCCTTCGGAGGCAACGATGATCGAACACAGAGAGTCGTCGAACATCCTCAACTCGGAGAGGCCAGGTTTCACAAGCATAGAGCAAAACTGCTCTCACCGTCGCGTTGTAGATCCGACCTTTTACAGCCAGACTAACATCACGAAGGCGCCAAAGATGGCCCAGATTGGCATAAGCCGCTCTGGCTTTCACTATACGTGCATTGATCTCATCACTCACGCCACCACCAGCACTTATGCAGCTACCTAGATACACGAACTTCTCGACTACTTCAATCTGCTCACCATCCAGAGTGAGTACAGGATTAGAATCCTGCCAGTCTTGTAGAAGTACTTTGCACTTCGAAGGTGCAAAGCACATACCATACCTACGGACACTGATTGCCAACTGATTAAGTGCGGATTGCATGACTTGGGCATTCTCGCACAGTAAGACAATATCATCCGCATACTCAAGGTCGAGAAGTCTTTCTCCAGGCAACAGATCCACACCACCATTACTTACATCCGTCAGAGCTGTTTCCAGAATGTCATCGATGGCAAAGTTGAAGAGGAATGGTGAGATTGGGCAACCCTGCCTAACTCCACTGCTTGAATGGAATAGTGGAGAAAGGTGGTTGTATGCCCTCACTCTACCTGAGGTGTTTGTATATAAGGCTTTTAGGATGTTAATAAACTTCTCAGGCACACCCTTCTTCAATAGACAATCCCAGAGAACAGTTCTGTCCAACGAATCGAAAGCAGCCTTGATATCAAGAAACACTACGATTGTTGGCCTTTGATAAGTATGGCGGTGTTCTAACACTTGGCGGAGGGTGAAGATATGATCAATACATCCTCGACCAGAACGAAACCCAGCCTGCTCCTCGCGAGTCAATCCTTCTCGGGTTCTGAACAACCTACGAAGTATGACGGAAGCCAATAGCTTGGACGCAATCGGAAGTAGACTTATCCCCCGATAGTTGTTACAGGAACAACGTGAACCCTTTTTAAAGATAGGGACAACTATCGACTCATTCCATGACGTTGGTACACTCTCTAGTTCCCAGATCTTTGTAAACAACGTCGTCAGTCCATTAGTCAGAAAGTCACCACCATCTTTAAAAAGAGCCGGGGGTAAGTCGTCTGGGCCTGGTGATTTGTAACGTTTCAAGAGTTGGAGTTCCTTGCGGACTTCCGCCTCATTTGGTGGATCAGTCGTCACCGGCCAAGGAGGGCAGGACAGTCTGACCGATGTTGCCGGAGCAGCAGGCCAGTTGAACTGCCCTTCAAAGAATTCTGCCCATCGTCCAGGACGTCGATGGATGTTAGTGATTGGCGTTCCGTCATCCTCGCAGATTGTTTCGCTCACACCAGACTTCTTGCTGCCAGTGGCTCGGATGAGTTGGAAGAGCTTCCGGTAATTACCAGATGCAGCTGCTGCTTCCAACTCACTGGCACGCTCCGACCACCAGGTTTCTCGGTCCTTACGCAAGCTTTGCCCGATTTCATTACGTAACAACCTTCGTCTGTGGTCAAACTCACGGTCACCCGGAGTAGACCGACGGGCTTCAATCAGTTGTAAGGAACCAGAAGAAACCCAGTGCTTGTAAGCGGGACGTTTCGCAATCCCACAGCTGACTTGACCCGCCATTTTCATGGCGTCATGCAATTGCAACCAATGCTCATCTATACTTTTCGGTGGAATAGTGGCTAGCCTAGAAGCTAGCTCGGTTCGGTACTTACTAGCAACAGAAGTTGCAGCAAGCTTGCTAACATCAATCCTGTGGTGGCGGTCACTTCGTTGTCCACTGAAAAGTAAGGTAAGATTGGCGCAGACCAGAGCATGATCAGATTCCAGATAGGTACTCCAAAAGGAGCGGCAGTCTTGTACACAACCGCGCCAGCGGTAGCTGATCGCGATGTGATCAATCTGAGTCCAGGCTTGAGATGCAGAAGGGGGACGCCAGGTGGCACATCGGCGATGACTGTGCCGAAAGTTAGTGCTAGCCAGAAACAGGTTGTGGTCTGTGCATAGTTGCAGTAGACGTTCCCCGTTATCTGTCCTGCGACCAACGAGTCCCCATCGGCCACCTAAACGACTCTCTTCTGTGCCTAGACGCCCGACCTGAGCATTCAAGTCTCCAGCTAGTACTACAATATCTGTCGAACGCACTTTCTGGAGAAGAACAGATAACTGGTGGTAGAACTCATCCTTGATTGCATCCGGGCTGCAATCTGTCGGGGCATAGGCGGAGATGACGAAAAGACATCGTTTCTCACGCCGATTTCTTCTCACTCTGATGGTACTTTCTAATCTAACAGCACATAACCGACTGTTAATGGGGATCCAGTCGACTAGTGCTGCCTCAGCTCTTGCGCTTAGTGCGACACCAACGCCAGCAAGACCAGACGAAGATGCCACAGGGTCCCCGGATAAACGCACGTAAAACAAGCTTTTTGGAGCGACAGATGGAGAGCGAACTTGTAGTACTTCACCAGAGTCTTGAATACGGGTCTCGGATAGACAACACACATCAATATTAAGACTTTCCAAAGACATTGCCAGCCCTATCTGTTGTCCGACCTGCATAAGTGTGCGAACGTTAAAGGCAGCCAGTTTGAATGGTGCGCGTGGTTTCAGAAAGACTGCTTCAGTACTCGTATTCGATGGTAACATACAATTTTCAAACCAGGCAGTGACTCGAGAACGTTTAGATAAAGCTGAATTTTTACCATAGGCGAGCTGCTGTCTGGGTCGAAACGGATACAAAAAGTAGAAATAGGAGATAGTGAGTAAATGACGTAGTAAGTAATAATAATAATAATAATAATAATAATAATAATAATAGTATCAGTCATTTCAATGTTAGTCAGAGAAGAACGAATATTTTCCGTAAGCGAATATTTCATCATGTTTTGGTGTGTGGGCTGAGATACTGCCCGGGTGCCCAAACCGAAGCAGGTGGTTTTCTTAGGGGGCCACACCCCGAGCCTTTGACCTAAAGGTCTAACCCACAAGGCAGTGGAGCATCGTGAGGAGATGCAGTCCCATGGAAGCCGGTGACCAAAAGTTGGTTCATACGCCATTTGTTCCTTCAGGATACTGGAGCCCATGTGCACCATAGAATTGGGATCCGGTTATAGCGCCGGACGTTCGCTTTTCGTCCTCTCATTTTCGTAAACAACACCCCCGCCACGTGAAGGCAGTGAGTAGGACTTCCCTGGCAGAGGCTGTATACGCGTGGCCGTGTGAGAGTATTTCGAGAGGGAGGGCGAACCCTCCCCGCTCTCGGCCATACCAGGGCATTTGGGGGCGCACTAATGAATAATATAAAATTTCAACGAAAACAGAATATTAGTCTGAGGACGAACAGTTTTTATGCTTGAGATTGCATAATCTAATAGATTATTTTTAAATTCCAGTGGTAGTGAGGATACGCTCATACATTTACACATCTCTCCTTTATTTGAAGTAATCGATAAGCTTTGTAGCCCAAGTGAATGATTTAGGTGTAGTTTTGTTTTCTGAGTTCAAACAAGTACTTGTACAATTTGTAATATTACTAATAAATTTGTAAATTAAATACTTATTTTGTTTTAAATTATTCAGGTTATTGAAGCTTATAATAAACTAGAAAGTTATCGTCCACATCGTAAGCCTCCATTGAAACGTGATCGTGATATCTCATGGAAAGCATTGAAAGAACGTCGTAAAATACTCAAAGAATTAGAAGCTTTTGATGCTAAATCTCCTTAAAATTGTGATGATCAAATTAATTCAATTTATAATTGTTTAAATTCACTTTCATTGTACATAATTTAAACTCTATGTTAATTCTTTATTGTTTCTTAAAAATTAAAATATTATTAATTGTAATATATTTTATTGCTTATCCTATCATAGTAATTGAGAAAAATTGTTTTTTTTTGTTTTCCCTTTAATGTTATGTATAATCTCACATCAATATTTATAAATAGTTTTGTATACTTTAAAACAATCTGTTTTCTGTTTCTGTTCATTTTTTGCTTAGTTTCCACTTTTTCCAGTCAATTCTTTATATAATTTTCTTATTGGTTTTTTTTGTATCCTTTATGTATGTATGTATGTATCTATTTTTTTACTCTTATGTGAGTTTTTTGTTCTTCTTGTTGTACATATATTTATTGGGTTTTTATTCAGTTCGTTTTTTTCTACAATTAACTAACTGTATACCATCATGCTCAGCATTTTGTTCGATATCGTTTTATGAGTTCATTGTTTTCTTTAATGAAACAACAGTCTTTCTACAACCTTTACTACTATACATATATAATGATTATTACTACTACCACGTTTGTTTAATGTGTTCATTTATAATAAGCAGTAGATTTCAAATATACTATCTACTGACTAAGTATTATTTTTTTTATCTGATTGTTGAAGTTATTATCGTTACACAATGTAATGTTTTACGTTGTGACTGACTGATACAATTTAATGTATATCAACAATTACATAATAAGTGTGCTTTTCTTGTCTAACACATTGTTTTATTCGTCACATTGTTGTAGTGAGTCATCTCAATTATCTGAGTTGAGATATCTTACGAAGATTAGTCTAAATTGTGAGTGGTTTCTTTTGTCAATAATTGATATCGGATTAGGATGCTATGAAACCTAAAGGCAACCACAAATCGATTGTTTCATTCCAATATGGAGTACGACTATGTCAGGAGTAAGACAGCCTTCGTCATTGAAACTAAATGATTTCCGCGCTACATTGCGGATTAACTGAAGTTCGAAATATGGAACACATGATTCCGATTCAGAATTGTCTATGGGTTAAGTGCCCACTACCAGACTTGAATATTGGGGGTGTGCACTGTGTAAGTGTTCTGCGATGTGAAATGACTGTAGTCATTAAAATTTTACTTCGGAAATGGCTTTTCTGATTACTCTAAGTAGGTTCAGTCTCTTAGAAGAAGTTTCAATTTCACTACATTTGAATAAACATGGCTAATTCAAGCAAAAAACACTTTTCTCTAGTTAATGCGATAGTTTATTCCCGAATTCATGAGGTAATTCTACCAATTAAATCTGAAAATTGATCTTATCCCTGTAATTGTGACATTCTACTAGTGGACTGGTTTTTTAAAGCTGTTATCTATTTTTTATAGGTTTCAAATAAACTATGTAGATGTACTCACTCTAAGCATACATTGGTTCTCTTTTGAGGTTTAAAGAGTTTCAGTTCAAAAGATCAACTCAGCTCATCTACATCAGCAAAAATAATTTGAGAACAATGTAACTCATTTCTGTTACTTGCTTCTCTTAATGTGCTTTTTTTGAAAACAATCCCAATGAGATCTAATTAGAGTACAGTAAGCTGACTGTTTGGTTTTAAGCCACGTTGATAAGTGGTTTAACTGTTTGCTTACATGTAGTTTGGAATAGACGTGTGGTTCTTTGCTTTCGCACAAAATCGGGTAAGAATACTCAAGGATTAAATAGTCAGACATGTGAAATAGCAGCCTAATTATTACAACGACTTCAGACTAATTGGTTGCAGGTTCGAACCTCCTCCACCAACTTTGGTTTGAACAACCATGTAGTATTACTAGCCTTCACACTAAAAATGTAATTTAGGACTGAATACATAGACTTGTCTTTGGTAAACGAGTAATATGACTGATATATAGGACGTCCATTTTCATATAGAAACTTAGAAAACATTGACTTAATACAACCCATGATTCTGATAGTGTGAATTTCAAAAACCTGAAATGGCTATCGACTATTACAGAATTGTGAATATTATTGCTCCATCACCTAATGAATCAGGTCCGTAAAGATTTAAAGTTAGTCGCTAACCAAAACATTGCTTTTGTATCAGCATCAGAAAAACATTTCAATCGTCAGAAACTCCATATACAGATAAGTTAACCGATAAAAATACATTACAATTTGACTGATAATACGAATTTAGTCTACAGTATGGCTTAAAAGCTAGTATTGGATGGTTGAGTTTAGTACTCTGATTAAGATACTTGTCTTTTGGTTCAATAAGATTATATATGTTATCTTAAAGATTTTTTGTGGACAGTTGTATTTTTTTTATTGATAATATAACCGCAAAAGTTATTGTCCACTCAATACACTCGATTAAACCCTCACGAATAATTGCTTAGGTAAGGCTGAACCACAGTAAGAGTTGAGTGTCATACAACTCGTTTTTGTTTTTGTTCAACACTGAAATAATAGGTTTTTATCAAAACCGCGAGGCTGACATAATAAATTTAGCTAGAGAATGGATTTTCATACTAAACACTTGAACAGTTAATAAGGAATTATTAGTCTCTCCTTAGATAACGTAGATCATAATCTGCAGTTTTATATGGATTACAAGGTCTTTCCAACCGATTTCATTCTCTAGTAGCTATTATTGTTGCATCAGCTGACATTGTTCTGAAACGTATTCTCTTCTGAATTCTGTGCTCAGACTGAAATGCCGTATTTACCGTTGAGTGACCTTGCGTTTTGAATGTCTGCGAAATTTCCGTCCTAAATTTATCGATATAAACAGTATGACTACATCTGGTTTTACAAATCAGCTAGATTTGAACTCAACTACTCTTCCATTCAAATATCCTCTCCAACATTAGTTGCACTTACTGTACACCATAAAAGTTATCAATAAAACCGGAAATACCGGTCAATGTTTGTACTTATTTCCTTTCATTACGAAATATTTCTAAAAAACCTTTAAAGACTGAGTTTTAAAAGATTTTCTGTTGTATCCATCATGTTTAGTTACCTCGCATGTAAATATATTTTTTTAATTTTTGTTTAGAAATTGCTTGTTAACTTATGTTATCTTAATTAGTTCAAATTCGTGAATCAGAATTTAATAAGTTCATTTTATACTCTCACTTATGGTTGTTTATTTGACTCCAAATGCAATAAAAACAGATGCTTATCCTAGAATTGAAGAATATTCTAAATAAGTAGTTTGTTCTTATTCATCAATAACATACTAGTTAATAAATACAGTCTGGTAAATTTTACAGTTATTTCTATAAGTGTGATACCCTTTGATTTATGAAGCAATTGAATATTTCCGAATTAATTTCAATATTAATAAAAGGATAGTTTCATTTTTAGAATCTTTGACTTTGTCATTTGATCAGAAATTTGAACTTGTCTCATCTACTTCATCTTGGGCAGGCATCGCATAACAAAAATTATACTAAAACCCGAATACACAAACTTCTACTTGATTAATGAGTTAAATTATATTGCTTACATGAGTTTTATAACCAGCAATTGATTTCCTATTACTCTCATTTATCGTCAAAATTATACTTGAGTAGATGTATATCAATGAGGAACTTGAATTTTTCGATCTAATGAGTAATATTTATGTTTTATTAAAGTTAGTCGGTGAAATCATATAGGTATTATATTTAAAATCATAAAGACTAACAACATAGATTCCCATTTTTACAAAATTTCAATAACTGGCCTATCTATCAAGTCAAAACGAGGATGGAGTTGACGATTACTAGTTTCTTCAGTGTCTATAAGAAATAGATCTAAGAATACTTGCGTTAATTGGAGCCAATTATTTAGAAATTTTAAAAATATGCTTATAACTCTCTTATAATCTTACATTTGATTGTTTGTCGTATGTATCACATGTGTATGTATTTTTAAATCTTCAATTATACTATTTATAGCTACCTGTTTTAAGTGACTGTCCTTCTTAATTCTTTTTCCGAATACTGTCAATCAGCAGTTTACAAGAAACTCTTCTCGTCTCTTGAATAAGAGATTTTTATGGAATGTATATGCATTCCAACCACTTGTTGCACCACAAAGTAACTATTCATCAAATCAGTCGAATAGCCAGAATCAACACAGAGATACTCATCAAACAATTCTATTTTTCAAATCAATTTTGTTGACCACAGCTCTTGCAAAAATTTGTCATGAGAATGAGGATTTAGATGATGCTCAACAAAAATCTCATCCTGTGTATAGTACTCCGTTAATTGTAAAATGTGCAGAAATTGCAAAACCAATGTCTAAAGATAGACAAGCTGCAATTAAAGCTCTAGATGTGGTTGCCGATGTTGCTCAAGATGTTCAACCAGCAGTTGTTTCAATCACTAGTACTGAGTTAGTTTATTAGTTATTATTGTTAACTATTTTGTTATATATTGAATAACTATAATCAATATCAACTCATGTCTTTTGATTATTAATTATGTTATTAATCTTAAGTCTTCGGTGTCGTTTAATCGAAACCACTAGATAAGATTTTAACAATGTGAATACAATCTAATCAGCTAATGTGAGTATACTTTTCACCGATAGATCTACAGTCGTAGTTTAAACCAGTAGTGATACATTTTGATCATTAACAACTAACTTTGGGTAGTGACCGAGGTCATTTTCAAAGTTTTTCGGTCCAAGGTGCATTCTTCTCTGTAGCCTGGTATCCACTCAGATCCAGAGACAGAGGAATCAGACAAAACGTCTATTATATTATATTTCAAACACAAGTTTATTTTAAATAAATAATATATTTGTAATATCTCAATAAGTAGAAAAATTAGATTTTCTGACGTTTCGTGACTTAGTGTGAGCCACTTCTTCAGAGAATAAATAACCGAATCAAAATTAGTCCAAGTTTAAAAAGTACAACGGAACAATATTATTCTAATTGTAGAGGGGTGTTATAGCAGTAAGATGTTTCCCACAGATAACTAGCACCTGCAGAGATTCTACCTTTTCACAACGGAAGGAAGTTGTTAGAAAACGTCGATCCTTAAAATGGGACACCTCATCTTACTCCATGAATTTACGTCCGGAGGTAAGGCTTTTTTAAGTGCAGAACAAACACATGAAGAACTTCCCATAAAAAGGCCGTTTACGACCGGTCTCAGGCACTTATCCCTTGGGCTCTGCTGTCACGCTTCCACACCACAAATGATTTGGGTTATTCCTGGTCTCTTGAAACCACTCTACGAATCACATGTTGAAGCTTTTAATGTTTGAGCCTTTTGTCAAATAGAAAAACAGGCTTCTTGAACTATGACACCAGAATCATGCGCCATCGTTATATGCTGCATCTCCGAAGCGCATACATAACCCAGATACGGTCATTCATTTGACCTCACCTTGTCAGTATAAATAACCGACTGGATTTCCCTTTGAGTATCTGGAGACCACACTGCTACTTCCTGCGGCCTCGCTGGTATAGGTTTGTTATTGATTGTTAAAGCAGAATGTGGTCTGTTATACTGGATTCTAGTAAACAGTTGCTAATGCTCTGTTCAACCAAATAAGACAGCGAAATTCAAAAACATAGGAACACACGTCATTGTCTCTGCATACGCCCCCATTGATTGCAGTTCGGATAAAGTTTAAAATGAATTTTATGAGAAGCTATCCAACACACTTAGAAAAGTTAAACGCTTTGATGTAGTAATAGTGGTAGTTGATTTGAATGCGCAGGTAACTAAACTAAACCAAACTAAATTGCACTTATGTGGGTCTTACGATGTTGCGACTCAGCGAACAAATAACGGCGACCGTTTGTTGCAACTATGCTCAGATAACTCTTTCCAACAAAATCCAACTTTAAACATAAGTAGAAACATCGTCTGGCGTAGCAACTCCCACAATCGACTCATCAATGGACTTAAATCACATTAACATTAGCCAGCGTTGGAGAGGCTGTACAGAAGACTGTTGCTCATTCCAAAGCATACATTTAGACTCGCATCATGCCCTAGTTCGACCTCGTATTTGTCGACATCTTACCGGATGTAGAAAGTCCACAGCAAGTAAACCCTTTTGAGTCCAACCTAATGGTGAAAGAGCTAATAATATATTTCAGCAACAACTAGAGAAGGAGTTAGTCAACCGTGAAAGTGATATCCACCCCAAGGTAGCTGTGGAAATAGCAGTGATACCTACTAATGACTCAAACTGAAAGATTAGGAAAAATCAGTAGATTTCAGCAGCGTCTGCGGAACTGGTAAATGCGCAGAAACTCACCCCGTCTTACTCTCAACGCAATGAGGAGCAGAGGCAGTTTAAACGTAGGCTGATCAAAAGCATACGAGATGACCGTCAGCATTGGTGAGTAGTGAAAGCAGATGAGATGGAAAAGGCAGCAGCGATATGTAACGGTAGATAACTGCTCGGACTTATCGAGGAAGCAAGTATTAAAAATCCGGCTCTTAGTGAAACTGTCTAAGAAAAAAAGGACTATTATACACTCTCAATCCACGAGATAGGACCTATGGGCAGAACACTTTACGGATTAATTCAACTGGTCTTCAGTCACACTTCACTATCTCAAAGCAACCTGAAGAACGAACTGATGTAAGTTTTCCAACGCCTAGTGAGTTTGAAAAGATTATAAGTAATCTAAAGCGAGGGAGAGCAACAGGTTCTAATGGACTAACCCCTGATATTTTTAAGGATGTAGGTCCAGTTTTGCCAATTACATTAACTAAATCCCTAGCCGAACTCTGGGAACTGTACGTAATGCCATCTAACTGATCTCGAATTCGATTTATAAGAAAAGACGAAATTCCTATTACGACAATCACAGGAATCACTTTAACTAATATAGTATCAAAAATATTAGCCTCAATAACACTTGGACGTTTAACTAGACCTCGTGAATAACAAACACGAGAAAAACAGGCTGGTTTCAGGCCTAAACGTAGATGTATAGAATGAATATTTAGCCGTCGGCAGATTCTGGAACATAGGTATAATTTTCGACGTCCGACTACAGGTATATTCCTTGACCTTAAAGCAGCGTTCAGATCCGTTAATCATGAGGTTCTCTGGAAGTATTTGTCACTAAAAGGCGTACGCAAGAAGTATTTAAACTGTACATACTCGCTACTTGAACACTACTGGTCGAGTCAGAGCTTGTGGCGAACTGTCATCGAATTTGGTTACTTCAAGTAGTGTTTGTCAGGGCTTTCCCCTCTTCCCATTTCTATTTAAACTTGTCGTAAACTTGCTTTTAGGGGTAACGCTTTCATCGTCCGGCTTTCCAGAGACTGATGTTCAACTAGGAGATTTACTTGTTGACCTAGAAAATGGAGATGACATAGTACTGTTCGATGAAGACACTAACAAAATGAAGTCTTCCGATCACCTTAAGGAATGATGCAAGTATGTATGGGATGGGATTCTTTCCTTCCAAAGCTAAGGTGTCGCTTTAGAATTGAGTTGCATGAGCGCTCGAATTAACGATAGAGGGTGAAGTAGTTGAGCGCACCGACCACTTCATTTATCCTGAGAGTCTTGTCAGTCCTGATGGTCTGGTGTGTGACGAAATCTCGACATGGGTTCAGAAGGCTCGTCTGGTTTGGTCGATATGCGTCACTTGTGGTGTAGGTGGGATATCCGTTTACCGAACAAAGGACGAGTTAACTGTGCATCAGTTCACTCTATCCTACTTTATGGATATGAAACATGTCTATTAAGGGTAGAGGATATTCTCAGGTCATTGGTATTCGACCATAGGTGTCCTCGAAGTAGTAGCCGTGCATTTTGGGACCACGGAGTAAGCAGTGGCTGGGTTAGGAATAGGGCACTAGGTAAGGATGGCAAATCGACTGACGAGGTTGTAAAGTTCTAAGGTTAATTCCTCGAGACGTCTTGTGCTTTTATTTCATCACGCATTTTTTGAAGCGTATCTTCATTGTTTAATCTTCACCAATACCACTCAGACTGTTACTGTCTCTACTATTCTGGGATTTGACCTGACAACTTCATCTCTTTGTGCTAATGGCGTATAACGACTTGGATCGATGTACAAATGTGCCGGGTTCTACACTGCTATTAACTGACTGAGAGTAAAACGGACAAAATATGTTAATATTTTACAGACTTTAAGTGAAACAATGTGCCAAAAATGATTTTTATTGTTCGTGATTGCTTCTTTATTTCTCTATTCATATCACCCATTATTTCTGACTATTGCTATTCTCTTGTTTTGTTTGATTTTTTAGTAAAGTTTTTCTTTCACTTCAATCACGTTCAACTGGTTCAGGTTTTATTGTAGATCATTTAGGTCATGTAGTCACAAATGCTCATGTAGTTGGTTATCGAGGCGATGTTATGGTTCATTTATGTGACGGACGTTCATTTCCTGGAAAAGTTCTAGCAGTTGATGTCTCTTCTGATTTGGCACTTATCCGAGTTAGTTTTTTTATTCTACTTGATGAAATATTCTGTTAATCTGTGATTTATTATTATTTTCTTATGATTGAAGTAAACTTTACTTTTATAAACAAGAGCGTTTAAAATAATCATATTTACATTTCAGTTGCGGATTACGCCAAGTATTAATTTCATTGTTGTAAATACTTTATCATTCACTCACGGATTCGAAAGCTTCTCCACTTCATAGGTATCAACGCCAAGATTGGACTTGATAGTTATCCAGTACAGTTTGAGTAGTCTGAGTATATCTAAGGTGAAAATGATTCAAATCTATATGATAATCCAGTTGGTGTATTCAATTGATAAGGAATGCAATAATTTTGTATTACTGTTTTTTTAACATTAATTTTGGAGATATTAATTGTCAGATAGACAAATGTAGCATAGATCCTGTTAAATATTTGTGCACTTATCAGTTATATCGCACTGCACAACAGTACAGTCGAAGGTAAAACTCAATGATAATAATGACGTAAATTATCTAAATTCATATTTATATACTCGACTGTGAAATGTTGTCTGGCGGCATAAGGTTATGAAAATCGAAGAGAAGAAGACGAGTACAGAGTATGATTGATGTGGAAATGAAGGAACAATCAAGTTTGAGACAATTGATTGACATTTTGCAAAAGAAGTATTTGCTGTATGGTTGTCATATTTTACTAAGAAATTCTGTAATTTTGCCCCCGAATACATTTGGTTGTCCCGATGGGTGCTCTCGTTCACTACAATACCACTACCCCTGTACCCTAACTGAAGTAGGTTGAACAAGGTTGGAGTTCTATATCTAATGGATTGAATTTCAAGTACTTTAGTCAACGCTGTTAAGCCACTGTTTCGTGGTATAAAAAATAAATAAGGTGAACACGAAGAAAAAGGAGTGTAAATGTTGCTTCTAACTTCTATTTTTAATTGTAAAAGAAAAACAAATGAAGTGAAGGTTCAAATAAAACGGTATCTCTTTCCCACTCACATGCGATATGTCCTTTGATACTACGTTTATCGAACTATTTAACTAAGCGGTGGAGTTAGTAGACAGGATATCCTGGACCTAGGTTTCGTGCTATTTTGCGCTCGTTAACAAGGCGTACATGTAGTATTGAGATAACCGATGTTCCCTGGAGAATTCGATTCTATGTCACCCGCGAATTATCCGGGCCGCGACTGTGATACGGGATCAAATCCTCCAGGGAACTGATGTTCCCTCAACATTACAGGTACACCTTGCTGACAATTGCCAAATAGCACGAAACCTAGGTCTATGGTATCCTGTCAACTACCTCCACCTTTCATCCCATTATAATGCACATGATGTCAAGTCATCTAGACTAGTGGCTACGTCGCAACTTGGTCAATAGAATTTGATCAGCAGTACATAAGGATCTGACATTGGTCACAGCTCAATGATCAATCAATTGTTTAAAATCTATATAATTGCTGTATACAAATTAGTGATTAAAAGCAACATTCATATCAGTTTTAAACAAAAAAAAATGTTTAGCTAAATAGATTTCACTGTAGACAGTCCTCCTAGTATTTCCTTAAAATTCAATTGAATTAGATGTTTTGTTTATTTTATTCCCAGTGATACATTTGCACATAATTACTATTCTCTATTTATGGAAATTCCTAGTTTATTATCTTTTTTATTATATTAATTTAGTTAGATGTGAAGAAAGTCGTTTCAGAAAATCTTCCACATCTACCTATGGCTATGAATGTACAAAATATTCGTCCAGGTCAATTTGTATTGGCTTTAGGTAGTCCTTTAATGTTGGCTAACAGTGTTACAGTGGGTGTAGTGTCTGCAGTAGATAGAGACTTAGGTCATTCCGAAGGTCTCAAATATATCCAAACAGATGCTATAATAACAGTAAGTTTTAAATACTGTAGATAAAAAGTAACATTATTGTTATTTGTAATGATTTCGTATTAACCGATTTTTTGATGATAAGGACTGTAATTGACCAGTCTCTATCGATATACGTACATTCTAAGTGAATCACTCCTACATTGACACTTAATCAGAGTTTATATAAAGGTTGGAATAGTGGATGATAACAGCGAAATAGATTATATGCGTTTCGCCCTATTTTTAACTCGTCTTTCGGGTAGATCAAGCCCTCATTGATGTCAATGTTCACACGAATTAGCACTTGTAGCGAAAGGCACACTAAGCTTACATCTCATTTAAACGTCAATACTATAATTTAGGTACGTCCATCTAACAAGTCCTGGATTTTACCATTAATCATTAGTCAACTTTAACAATACTACTGTTTCTGTTTTTTTAATTGTCAATTAACTTGATTACATCTATAAGCTTCATTTTGAGCTTTTGTTTATTCAGGCAACATAATCTAATCAACAACCTTACTATACTCATAATACGAATAGAAATGACCTTTATTCAAAATCAAAATGATTATGATGATAACTCTAAAATTGACATTTAAAAGTCTTAATTTCATTTGTAATGGTTTAGATTGTCTAATTGTTAATATTTTGACTGAAATTTGATCTGTCTTGGTTGGTATATTTGCATCTAGTGTGAATTGCTTCAATGTAGTCACTATGACACAACCTTATGTAGAATATATGGAATTCGGATATCAGTGGAATCGAAAACGGATGTTTCGTCCCGTTTAGGATTCGTCAGGGATAACTCAGACCGTCAGGAATTCGATTAAATTCGTATCCGTTCCACATATGACTGTCTGTCTGGACTTATAAGCTAAGTGGACAACGCGTTAGCGCTTGAAGCGAACGGCACTGGTTTTGAGTCACGGGGTTAATATCAACAATGATTCAGATACATTCAGCTAACGAGTCCCATGTAGGACGAAACGCACATTCCGTTTTCCGTCGTTAGCCATATTCCATCTATTCTAAATTAAAATCCTCCTTTTCTATCATGATCAACTAAGCTTTTCTTTGCATAAACGTTCCATGAGATTACGTCTTCGAAAAACTTTCAACGTGAAATAAATATATTTCCTTAGAGATGTTTCTTCCAGTCAACTTGTGTACCGAATTCACTGAATATTTGATTCTATCCACTGATGTGAACTCCGCCTGGAGTCCCTTTCCGGGGGCTACTGCCGGTCCCAAGCCCGGATAAAGGAGGAGGGTTGGGCATGGGGTTAGCGACCCCATCCCGTAGAAAACTAACTCGCTAAAAAAACGCTAACCAGAAAAAATTATTCAAACCATTTAAACTCTGCCCTGGGAGTCAGGAAGTCTTCGTTTAGAAGAATTATGACGCCTCATGATGAAAGCCGAGTTCCTTCGGAAGTCACGAGGCCGATGCCCCTTCTGACAACCAGAGCAACCATTTATTTAGGTACATGGAATGCTCGCACAATGTGGGAGACTGGGAGAGTTTTCCAAATTGCTGCAGAAATGAGGAAATACAATTTAGAGGTGCTTGGGATCAGTGAAACACATTGGACGCAAGCTGGACAACAACGACTAGCTTCAGGGGAGCTGCTGTTATACATCATACAGAATTCCTATGATGGATTAAGCTGCAAAATCGTGCATGGAGGACAGTTGACAAAGTCGTTCGAAGTAAAGACCGGTGTCAGGCAAGGTTGCTTACTCTCACCCTTTCTCTTTCTCCTGGTGATCGACTGGATCATGAAGACACCAACATCTGAAGGGAAGCACGGGATACAGTGGATAGCTAGGATGCAATTGGATGATCTAGACTTCGCAGATGATCTGGCTCTTCTATCGCATACGCAAAAACAAATGCAGGAGAAGACAACCAGTGTAGCTGCAGCCTCAGCAGCAATAGGTCTCAATATACACAAAGGGAAAAGCAAGATTCTTCGATACAACACAGCATGCACCAATCCAATCACAATTGATGGAGAAGCTTTGGAAGATGTAAAAACTTTTACATATTTGGACAGTATCATCGATGAACACGGTGGATCTGATGCAGATGTGAAGGCACGGATTGGCAAAGCAAGAGCAGCATATTTACAACTGAAGAGCATCTGGAACTCAAAACAAATGGCAACCAACACCAAAGTCAGAATTTTCAATACAAATGTCAAGACAGTTCTACTGTATGGGGCGGAAACCTGGAAAACTATGAAAGCCATCGTCCAAAAGATACAGGTGTTTATTAACAGTTGTCTACGCAAAATACTTCAGATCCGTTGGCCGGACACTATTAGCAACAACCTACTGTGGGAAAGAACAAATCAGATCCCAGTGGAGGAAGAAATCAGGAAGAAACGCTGGAAGTGGATAGGACACACATTGAGGAAAGCACCGAACTGCGTCACAAGACAAGCCCTCATATGGGATCCTCAAGGTCGAAGGAGGAGAGGAAGACTAAAAAATACATTACGTCGAGAAATGGAGATAGATATGAGAAAAATGAACAAGAATTGGATGGAACTAGAAAAGAAGGCCCAGGACAGAGTGGGTTGGAGAATGCTGGTCGGCGGTCTATGCTCCATTGGGAGTAACAGGCGTAATATATATAATATAATATATCCACTGATGTGAGAACTGTAGTTGAATACAGTTATATGGAGCGGTAGCTTATTGGACAAGGCTGTTCCGACTTCGTTATCTATCCACTAATCTGTGCTTATTTTGCAGATAGAATCGTCTCAAATTAGTTTGCATCCTTGATGTTCCAGGTTACTTAGTTCAAGCTTGAGACTGCAACGCATAAGTTCGACTTTTATTGGACAGAGTTAAGGGCATAGAGGAAAGGTTATGCTATCACTGTCTAACAAGCTGGTCGGTTGGCAAGCGGAGAGATGATTATAGCGAGAAACTCTAGATCTGGTTCAGCTGACTGCAAAAGATACACGAATGAATATATGAATAGCAGAATCACAATGCCGAAAGAATGTGAAAAATACAGTCATACCAAACTAGGACATTAGAGTAAAAAAAATTAGGATACAAGGACTATATTTAAATTACAATAATTTTAGAACAGAAGAAAATATGACGATAATTTATAGATTAATCGAACACTTATGATTCATGGAATAAAACAGGCATATAACTGGATGTTAGAAATTTACAGATTACAAATTAGGCTAAACCGTCTCCCAAAAACTACCTTTCATTGTTTATCATGCCTTCCTCGTTCTTTTTTCACAACCATTCCGTTTGACACTCGACCGACAGTCTTCATGCTCGAATCTTGTTCTAGCTAGTTCAGTTTGGGCAACGGGGTATTATAGATAGTTTATATACTCAAAGTTATGGTTCAAATCCGACTACATGGATTTGGACATAATGAGTTACATCACTATATTCATGATAGCTGCTAAGAGTGTTTTCAAAATAAAAAAGTTTGGCGATCCAAACTGAAATATGTTCCTAATAGGATGAGAAGTTACCTTCGGTGTAGGGTTATTATGCAGGACCGTTTCATAACTAACCTAATAAATAAAATACTTGAACAATACAGTATTTCTGACAAATAATTGCTGTGTGTATAAATTCAGTTTTACACTACGGTTAGAATCGTCGATTAAATGCTTTTTACAATGACAGGTGATTGAAATCCCTTGAGTTCTTTTACATCCTGTTTTAATATCCAGAACTCAACATAGGTTAGTTAGTTTTTTCCTATCTGTTTACAAAACTTTAATACTGACACTAACTGAAGTTTAATTATCAGTATGGAGATTTGTGAGGATTGTAGTATTTTAGTAGTTGAATCCACGAGTCAGTCTAAGCTAGACCACCATAGAAAACTTGGAAGCACTGGACGGCGTTCCGTCCTCATATGGGACTCCTCGGCAGTGCGCATCCACGATTCCGCAAGCGGGACTCGAACCGTGACCAGTGGAGTCCAATCTGTCGGGTGGAGATATTTATCCACCTCAGACAATGGATGAATGGTTGCGCAAGATCATGGATCGATTGAAGTTAGGCGTTAACACTGTTGAACGCCGGCCCAGTGGTCTAGATGTTAAGCGTTTGCACGCGAGGCCGAAAGTCCTGGGTTTGAGTCCCGCGTGCGGGGCCTTGAAGTTCGATTGTTAATTACGGTTTCTTTTTGCATTTTCAATTGAGTTTGGCAATTCCGGTGGTCCACTGGTGAATTTATATGGTGAAGTTATTGGGGTTAACGCTATGGTGGCTGGTACAGGAGTAGGATTTGCTATACCTGTTGATCAAGTTCGAAAATTCATACAGTTAGCACTAAAAGCATCCTCAAATACTCGAAGCTCTTCCCCAATATCGTCAAAATCGCCTACTGATCCATATATTTTAGCAGACAATCCAACCAATTCAGAAAGTGGAACTCAACGTCGATACTTAGGCCTAGTTATGCGAACACTTACTCCAGAACTGGCTTTCGAATTGGCATCTCGCGGTGGACAACATTTTGTAGATTTGAATGGTGTTCTGATTCATGCCGTATTAAGAAACTCCCCTGCCCAAAGGTAAGTTCGCATCACTTTGAATAAACTGTAGAAAATCACTTGTTATCTTGCATCAAAAAAAATTATCTTGTCAAAATATGAATGTGTATCAACCATTATTATTACATTTATTTACAAGTCAATAGCTTAGAACTATTAACAACTCCCTTATTATGACTATCATTATTAAGAATTACAAATTCGCTAACACTATCAAGGTCCGATTGAAAGTTTTTGATTATCCTGACATATGCATTTTGAATTTAAATTTCTACACATTATTTCTATATTCAATAAGCCATGCTCTCTGTAAGACTTCTGTCATGTGTGGAATCTAGTTAATTATTTGACGTTCGGTCCTCCATAAAATTTCACTACTAATCAGCTCCATAAAAAAACTTTGCTTCTATGGAGGTTTTATTGAGTCTTATGTACAATTCAATATGGGCTTCTTTTTACCACTTTATGATAACCTTATAAATCCCAATAAATAGACGGAGTGGTTACTATTAACCTTTAAATCACCGTTCAGTAGAGTGGTAACACCGAAGATATAGTTCTTAATCAATGTTACAGAACTGTTTAAAAGCTCGAAGTGATAATTTTATATATAGTCCTTTATTAACTCTGATAAATGGCTTTAAAAAATTACAAACACATTTAAAGGATGTCTTAAAGTGTCTTTAAAGAGCTTGTTCTTATCTAATTTCGCAAGTACAAGTACAGCCTTCCATTTACATTCTTATAAACTCACGATATACTCGTCTTGTGTACTACACAAATTAACCGATTATCATAATTTTCATCTAACCTCTTCTAATAAAAAAAAACAGACTTCACTTAAAGTAGTACCAACGATTTCATTTTGATCAGCATCATTCCCTAATGTCTTTGAAGAGGTATCACTCTGCATAAATTTAATATTTCATATTTCGACAGAGCTTCAAACTATTATTTGTTTACAAAAAAGAACTCTGAAAAAAAACAATCACATCCCGGAAATTATCTATCAGTTGCACGTAACTAATTTAAAGAGAAAAACCCTATTCAATAAGTGTTTATATCGACGACCCAGTTTAATACCCTTATTTCACAACATACACTTATTTGTTGGACATCGTTTGTGCATATTTGTGGGTAAAATTAACTAGCTCAAATATTATACAAATTAATACTTTACACAACGCAGGAACTCCACCATCATTACGAAGCTCCATTCCCATTGAATTACAAGATTTGATCAGTTAGTCAATCACAACACAGAACCTGGCACGTATGTATATCGATTCACTCGTTATACCCCATTAGCACAAAGAGATGAAGTTGTCAGGTCAAATCCCAGAATAGTAGAGACAGTAACAGTCTGAGTGGTATTGGTGAAGATTAAACAATGAAGATACGCTTCAAAAAATGCGTGATGAAATAAAAGCACAAGACGTCTCGAGGAATTAACCTTAGAACTTTACAACCTCGTCAGTCGATTTGCCATCCTTACCTAGTGCCCTATTCCTAACCCAGCCACTGCTTACTCCGTGGTCCCAAAATGCACGGCTACTACTTCGAGGACACCTATGGTCGAATACCAATGACCTGAGAATATCCTCTACCCTTAATAGACATGTTTCATATCCATAAAGTAGGATAGAGTGAACTGATGCACAGTTAACTCGTCCTTTGTTCGGTAAACGGATATCCCACCTACACCACAAGTGACGCATATCGACCAAACCAGACGAGCCTTCTGAACCCATGTCGAGATTTCGTCACACACCAGACCATCAGGACTGACAAGACTCTCAGGATAAATGAAGTGGTCGGTGCGCTCAACTAGTCAACAAGTAAATCTCCTAGTTGAACATCAGTCTCTGGAAAGCCGGACGATGAAAGCGTTACCCCTAAAAGCAAGTTTACGACAAGTTTAAATAGAAATGGGAAGAGGGGAAAGCCCTGACAAACACTACTTGAAGTAACCAAATTCGATGACAGTTCGCCACAAGCTCTGACTCGACCAGTAGTGTTCAAGTAGCGAGTATGTACAGTGTAAATACTTCTTGCGTACGCCTTTTAATGACAAATACTTCCAGAGAACCTCATGATTAACGGATCTGAACGCTGCTTTAAGGTCAAAGAATACATCCATAAGCGGACGTTGATAAACGAATGGAGCAGTTGGCGCGCTCTGCTTCTTTCCTATCGTTAATCTGACGCAACCTATTCCTGTAGTCGTTATAATGATTCTAGAATGTGAGGCATATTAAAAGCGATAACGCAAAAACAGAAACCTTACAGTTACTTGGCTTCCAACAGCGATTTTCTTCTACTAATTAACTTAGTAATATTAATCTCTATTAATTGAGATTCGGTATAAATTTTATACATTTATTTTACAGGGCAGGATTAAGAGCTGGAGATGTAATTGTTGCCATTGATGGTCTACCTATAACGAATGCTCAACAAGTTTACACTGCAACTGAAAGCCGAGAACAACTGACAATCACAATCGTTAGACAAGGAAAACGAATAACCATAGATCATATTCAGACGGAAAAAATTTAGAACATGAATTAGATTCTTGGTTTAAATTATTCTACACACAGTATATAATTCTGTATTATACATACACGAGTATTTATAATTAAATCATCCACAGTGCTGCGGTCTCTTTTTTCTGTTTTGCATAAAATAACTTGGAAGGAAAATACACTTGTTGCTTCTTCAATACATTGTATTTAAATAGAACAATAATTAAGGTATTTTGGAAATAAAATGATTTTTATTCCAACGTATTAAGACAGATTATTAGGTATATATATGCTGGCCAAGTAAATCAAGTGTTTGTGAAAATATTAACTAACAAGGATAGAGAAAATGAGAATAAATCAAGAAGACAGAAATGCTAAGAAGAGATAATTCTAAAGTATATTATGCTTTTTTCATTTTATTGATTGCATTATCACATCAATACAATGGAATGAGCTGCAGAACTAGTTTATCCCTGACCATTAACGCACATCTATCATATTTAGCTCGACTTTAAATGAAACATAAGGAAAATAGTCCGATGAAGCCCCAAAACTCCCAACATTCATATCTTCCTGTAAAGAGACATTCGCAGAGATAATGTTCAACAAAAGGTAAGTGCGTATTGAAATTAACGTTTTAGCAAAATTAGTGTAGATGATTGAAATTACGAACAAAGCAATTGTAACAGTAAACATGTTTATCTCTAAACAATTAGCTACTTTGGGGGGCTGACGTAGGTTAGTGTACTCAAAACAGACCCTCTGTACGTATTTTGCGGAAAACTTTAATTTGCTACGTCATAATAGATTTCCTGTTGAAGATGTAGACTTCAGTAAACGTCATTAGAATTTCTTTGAAATCTATTCTACGACAAAAACTATATTGTGCATTTCTGAAATATGCGCTAACCAGTGTCTATATCTCAAGTGAAACCAATCACATCCTTCATTTTGTCTGAAAAAATCTACGATTGGAATACTTCAGATCCATACTTGTTAAAATTCACATTTATCACGTTTCAGTTTAAAAGTATTTGTGAAGGCGTATCCAATATCCCTCCCTATATGTGGCTATTAACCTTGGGGTATTGAGATAAGAACAGACTTTTTGGTTCTATTCTAGAACCTTTTATTCAAAATAAATGTATTTTTGTTATATCCCAATGAGTAGAAAAATTATAATTGTGACTTGATGTAAGCCACTCTAAAGAAGTGACTTACATCAGAAATATATATACAATTTTTTCTACTCATTGGGATGTTAAAAAATGTATTTATAATTAACTCTCTACTCAGTGCTCACTTTATTTCAAACTATCAAGTTCGACCTCGATATGATACCTATAAGCTCATCAGCAATCTTTTAATTAAATATAACTAATTGAGGAAAGTTTATTTACGACTGAGAATCTAACGCAAAAATTTACTTTCAAATGTGCAACAAACACTTATTTTGTTTGTAACACTTAACCTGTTTAAAAGAAATTCATTATCAATAACACTGGAACACATATTGTACAGACACAGGGATAGTGTTTTATATCTCACCCCAATACTACACCTATAAATCCAAACATATCAATTAAGCGCAATTCTTTATGCAATTACGAACAATCCTGTTATGTGCCCCAGTAATAAATATACGAATAAATGTTAATGCTTACATCTAAGACGGAACTTGAAGACGATCCATCCAGATGGTTGTAAAGTTGTTTTAGTATATCTCTTAATTTCTTTTGCTGCTTTTTATTTGGCTCAAGGAGTATCGCTTGAAAATCAACCGGCAATCCATATCTACAATAAGACGGAAAATTACTTCAGAATTAGCATTTTGATGCAACAGAACAAATTCAATACAGCAGAATTACCACTTATTTGTACATCCGGATACAAAACAACAGAAATGCCACATTTAAAAACTTTAGTTAGGTATTCACCATTGACAGTACATTTAGTAGTTGTGCAAACATATTGAGATCTTAAAAATAGATATTCTTATTCAATATTGCTTCATTTACTTGTAAAATCAGGATTGCAGTTCAGCTTTGGGAAATATAATGATAGGGATTTTCGCTGGATAGTAACTCTTTTTCCCTTATAAGATACTTTACCTGTTTTTCTTAATAGTCCACAATAGTGATATCACAAGGATTTTAAACTTGATGTGAATTCCATTCCATTTAATAACGTTCGTTTCGCACTATAAGCTCCCTAATGAGTAACTCGTTATTGCACAAGCCTTTACACGGTTATGGTATCACCTCTATTTTGAAACTCCGAATCATGACTACTACAAATAAAGTACTTATATTGTCTAAACTGTTTCAGATTTATTTTACTATAATTACAAGTGACTTGACCACAATCAAAATGTACATAAAATGAGAACCCCACTAAACGTGTTTTAAATATTTTATTCAAAACATGAATCGTAAGCACTCCACATGTTTTCTACCTATATCAACTGGGACTATTTGGACCACGACAAAGCAAATTTTTAGCTTGATCGTGAATATTTCTCCACCAGACTTGACGACTTTATCCGCGAAAAGTTCATAAAACCATTAGCATAAAGGATACCGCAAATCTATCATTTTAGTTCTGAACATTACTTCAACTAGTATGCACCGCTGACAACTCATTCTAGATTCTGTCAGATTCCTATCTCCTCGATAGGGTTACATTTGTTATTTTCATTACTTTATTTATTATAACACATAGATATTGGTACAAGGAGGCACCAAATACATATGCGCCACACAGATCTCATTTGATATGTGTAACGGCTGTGATACTGCCCGGGTGCCCAAACCGAAGCAGGTAGTTTTCTTAGGGGGCCACACCCCGAGCCTTTGACCTGAACGTCTAACCCACAAGGCAGTGGAGCATCGTGAGGAGATTGAGTCCCATGGTAGCCGGTGACCAACGATTGGTTCATACGCCATTTGTTCCTTCAGGATACTGGAACCCATGTGCACCATTAGTTTGGGATCCGGACATTCGCTTTTCGTCTTCTCATTTTCGTAAACAACACCCCCACCACGAGAAGGCAGTGAGTAGGACTTCCCTGGCAGAGGCTGTATACGCATGGCCATGTGAGAGCATTTCGAGAGGGAGAGCGGACTCTCCCCACTCTCGGCCGTACCAGGGCATTTGGGGGCACATTTGTTACTCACATTAGATTTAATTTTGTTTACAATTGAAAATTAGTCTCGAATTGGTGGTAAGGAAATGTCTGCAACATATGTAGTTTGAGATACCATATACTTAAACGAACCTGGATACTGGGAACCGCTAAATGGGATTACGAACACATCACATTTATCTTTAGACCATCGGCAGAAAAATGCCATACAACAGTGGGAAGCCTTGATCAGACTAAATTTATCTAATCACTATCACTGTCAGTACCACGTGTTTACACCAACAATGCTTATTATCAGTATAATGACTTAGCTCGTTTCAACTACTTCCTATGCTACAAGACAACCATGGATGTACTTTCCATCACTGAACCTTTCAAATTAAAACAAAAAGATTAACATGGTTCTATATGCATTTTGAACGATCATAAGGTGACATAAAATAACTGCAAACTAACTAGATGGTAGGTAAGTTGACGAAAATGAAACCTCTTACCTTAAAACTGACTCAACAAATACCCGGAGGGCTTTAATATGAACCATAGCAGAAAAAGCCTCACCAAAATTAACTTTCAACCAACGAAAGAGAGGTGCCTAGTTAGGAATTTAAAAAAGTTATGCATTGAAATCAAGGCGACTGGAAAAAGTGTACTGTGTACAATCAAGGCACAACTAGCTATATGCAACAATGTGCAAATGCTATCTTACGAACAAGGGAAAACCTTATTTTAAAAGTAACTTCTTCTATTATCCGTTCCAGTGATTTTCAATAAAGTACAATCGTGATTCTCGTTAGTGCATTTTAATTGATATAAAAACGAACTGTTTGTTTTATCATTTGGCTTTATTTTATTAAGTCATGTTCGGACTAACTGATACGCACCACTTGTGATTGGAAAGAACAAAATGTAAACAGTTTCTTGCCAAACGACTACTAAAAACATAACGAGAAGCGTGGTTGTCTGTCTTCAATATTTAGAATCATGTCCCAAGAAGTGTTAGTAGGATGACGTTTAGAAAATGCATATGGCTCAATACATTTTAAACCGAACAATTTACTGACTTTAGGAAGGAAATGTTTATGTGGCAAAAATTCCATAAGGCAGTATTACAAAAAAACCGACTTACAAACTGTCGTTTCTTATCGGACTCAAGTTTCGAAAGCTCATTTCTACTTTCTTCAATTTTCTTCTCATCATAAGTAAAATCACGTACAACAAATCTGACAAATGATTTTGAATATTTAAACAAACCTAAATTCACGAGCCTGAGTTTTAAAGTCATCCGTCATTTTTTTGAAGAGCGTAACAGTCCACAGGCCATTATCCTGATCTTCAAAAATAAGTCTTAATCGGTTACATAAAAGGATTGCAAATTACTCAGACGATTTAGGAACGACCATATCTGTCATTCTTTCATAATTAGATTTCCAATCATTATACATATTCCTGATAATAAATATAAACAAAAAAACTTACTTTGGAACAACAACGACCAGAGTAGTTAAATATTCTGAATCAACAATAAATTGTTCTCGCTTCACGATATCTCCAAGCTCACGTGTTAAGAGACTACCCCTTAAGGAATTTAAGTAACGTTAAAATGTACTGCTTACGTCTGCTTTCGTTCTAGATTTTGAAGACAACCTTTTAAGGTATTATATGACTGAGACTTTGCTTTTAAATCCGAATCTATTTTAGTAAGTTGCTATAAACAATATTACTTGGTGTGAAATAAAAATACCTCTGAAATAATAGCATACAGTGAACTTAACGTTTGTTTGACTGGATATTTAGCATAATCCCATTGGAATTTAGTAAGGAAAGCGGCAGGAGAAACTAAGGATATAAAAGTAAGAAATAGAACATACGTCCATTTACCGTTAAGTTGTCTTCCAACTTGTGTTTTTGTTCTTCGAGAACATCGCCCATGTACTGGGCAACTTTCTTGGTAATACTTGAGCTACTATTTGAACCTATTAGACAATTACCTCTCAGCATACACATCTAATTTTGACAGCTCATCAGAAAGACCCACAAGAATATCCAGTGTTCCCACCTAAAGCTTCTAAATCATGACATCTACACAAATACCTTGAAGTCAGGAGGGATATTAAACTTATTGACCTGCGAGCAGATATCCTTATATTTAGACAATGTGGTTTGAAGACGCTGATACACCTGATTTGGATCCCGCTCCCCAGGTACAGATATTATCCAAAACTCCGTCATTCGACTAAACTCAAATCAGCCACTACTGCTGAATATCCAATGTCTCCCACCACTTTGTGACAAGTTAATGTAAATTAATTTACTTCTTTGCTCTTATGTCGTGAAACAAAATAATACCTACAGGCTGAAAAAATATTTACAGAATCTAAAGACTTGATTACGATTGTTCTTCAATATCTTCGTCACCAACATGTATTTGATTATATTGAGCTCGTTCCTTGGTGTTTCGGTGCGATTTCAGGTATTTGATGGTGTCCAATATATGGAAGTATATCCACTCAACTGCACTAATTTTAGTCAGTGCGTTATTTATTTGTAGATTTGTATATCTTGTCGTTTGTGTGAGTGCGTTTCTCCCAGAATAGTAGTGATCGTGGATGGCAGCAGTTGTAAGTACGTCTTTGTCCAGACCCACTTGAAGTGATCCAGAGAAGAGCACTGTGGTCACTTCGGCCGGAATAGAATTTTAAATAGAGGTTACTCTTAATGAGAAATAGTGAGAGCGTACTTACGCGTTCGCTCTTTGATATGCAATCTTCTAAACGTTTCCTCAGGGAGCATAGTTATGATAATCTGATTATATGCTCGCGTTTATGTGGCCTGTCGTACTTAATATATTTTACACCGACACCAGATCACCTCTTATTCTCCTGAAGACCAATCAGAATAATATCAGTGTTTGACGCCACTTGTCGTAAGATTTATGTTTATGACCTATCACCCAATTGGTTATCCGTCCCTATACTTATTCAGGAGATTGATGTCTTTTTGAAAGATAGTGGATACAACGGTATTGTGCACTCCAGGGTGGGGCTGTGTATATGTTTCAAACAGTGTTAGGAATAACACTGCGTCGATTGCCCCAAGGTGTTTTTGCATAAATTGAAGAATCATGTTTACCTTGACGGCATTCCCCTTGTTGTTTGAGCTACCGTACAACCCCTCTGTGATTACCAGCCCGGAGTCATACACTCAGTTGACATTTCGAAGCGAATTTTCATGAGAGGTGTAGGCGTTTTGTGTTAAATGAGGCAGAATGTTCAATACATGACATTTCAACAGTTTAAGTTTCAACTTACTGCTTATTGCTCATGACAGACGTAGATCCGGGATTGTTTATCACGAAACTTCTGGTATTGAAATCTTCCAATTCGCCTGCACTCTACTTACTTCGGTACAAAACATCCTGTTCTCCAGGTTGTTTCAGAGCTGGATCTTAACGAACCCGAAAAATTTGTAATTTTAAAAAATAAAAATAGAGAACTGGTTTGAATTCTGTGTACGGAATGTTAAAAGTGGTCTTCAAGTATGAGAAGATCCGACAAGACATGCTGATTATTCTTGAGTCTGTTGGAACAAAAGATCACTTCATAAAAGTGACTTCAAGGATTTTAAAATATTCGACTATAGTTATATAATATGGCCTCATTAGGCTATAACAGTGTGCTTAATCAGTGAAGAAACGCATCGGTACAGCAAATTATCTGACAAGTTGAACGTAGTCCTACACTGAAAGTACTGATTACTGGACGTTGAATTGTTAGTGATAAGTCAAGCTGGCGTGGCTTCAACCAAAGATTACATAAAAAAGTGACCGCATCATTCTGAGTTTAAATCTTGTGGATGCAGTCTATTAAACGGAGGGAATAAATACGCTGATTAAAGCGATAATAAATTAGCCTCTATATTCAAACCCGACGTCTAGCTACATATAATTGAAAATGGAACGTTATGTATATTTCACGGTTTGGCATAACACTTGAGACTGGGATCTTATACCATTAGATAATTCTTCTGTTAATAAGTACGAGTCATTCTATTAAGTTATCCAGGCTCAGTCCCTATGTTACGGTCTGTGATAGAATTCAAATTAGACTAACAGAGCACTGAAAAATACTATACTATGGGTAGTATAATAAATTTTAAATAACTATTTCGTAACCGTTCTGTTACCATTTCATCTGATATTATATCTTAATTTTTTTCTTTGTTACCTTGTATGATGATAAGGCCTAATAACAATCTCACAAGTTTCCGTCCGTTGTTGTGATCCGGAGCTCAATGTTATTTCACCAGCTTGAAATATTTAAATGGTAAGAAGGTTTCTAAACAATTTTTGGGAAAAATAGATAGTTATATTCACTATTAAAAGAAGTATGGATTCAATTCCAAGGGTGTGTACACAAATCAGATATTACTCTGATGGAAAGGAAATGTCACACAGTAAGAACGTTGGTTCATGTCGAGTTTCCAATAAAATATATAACACACCATTATTCACAAACTAGCTTAAAGATGCCACAGATATTAGTAGTTTGACAACACGTTAAAGAGTAACACCTTTCGTATTGAATCGTGCCCACTAAGTGATATCAAAAGTCAGAAGCAAGGGGGTTCGAAGTTATATTTTCTAAGCTATCAATATATCGAGAAATGACTGATCTTAACTTGCAAGCAGTTGCAGAAGTTGAGCACGACGTCCCCACTAGTTATCTGTTGCTGATGCATGACCGAGTGCCTTCAGCTAGGTGAGTCCATTTAAGCTAATGTGGTGGGCATCCAATGTCGAAGACCTACAGAGCTATTGATTTTGCGGATTTTACCACCACGAGCTATTTTCATCCTGAAGATCTTCCCCCTAAATAAATACGTGGACAGTTAAAGGTAAGTTTGGTGGAACTCTCCGTGATTCGTTCATTGATATTGCGTGTTCAAAAATGGTTGAATACTCTTTACAAACAGGCGGAGAAAACTGTTAGTGCTTTTATTTACTATGAGGCCAAACTGGTACGTCTGTCATTCTTGACATACCAGCAACATCACTAGACGTAACAGCTTTTTGTGAATCTTTATTTATTTCACAAGTCTAATTTCTCACCAGCAGACCAAACATTATCCTCACTAAATGTTGAAATCATTGAGATCCCACGGCAGATTGAGTTTTAAGTAAATGTAGAAGTTCAGTCTCTTTCAAGGTGCTATCGTAGTCTTAGACCCTGAATAAACTATTGTTTCAAAGTTCAGCACATGGTTAGCGGCTAAAGCATTATTCATGGGAACTAGTAATCGTGCATTATGCAGATGAAGACGTCACGTATACGCGAAGTTCGTAAATGCTACTGCGCCGTAACCCCTTTTTGTGAAAGTATTCCGAAATGATGAGATGAGAAGGTATATATGGATAACAGTTAGTGTGTCGAGTAGTATAAAAACTAAGCTGACCAGTTGTCATAAGGGATGCTCAACACAGCATAAGCAAATGATCTATTATTGATGTTTGACTGGGCACTTTCAGATCAATTTGGACCTAATCAATCTAATAATGTCAACAATAATGTAGAAGAATTACGAAGTCATTTATTTTGAAGATTTATTTTCCACTACACATATTTAACAGCTTACGAAATGCCAAAATACACTGTAAGACGAATCGAACTCAATAAATTTCATTTAACTCGAATTCTCAGCATACACTACAATTTTATAAATATTGTCTTAAAAACACACTTCAATGTGTAAAATAAAAAGCGTGATTTAGTTTCCTGGTGAAAACAACCATAATTATTTTTGGCGACTATAAATATTCAACCAACTTCGGAATGGAATATCTAATAAAATGGTCATAACGTGGACAAAGTCTGATAATTGGAAGTATTTTGATTATTATACGAACCCGGGATCCCAAGAACAGTGCAGTTTAGGTCAGACAGAACTAGGCGAGCACAAATGAATGTATTGTATTCAGAATTTGAAATCAGGCACACATCGAATTCAAAAGAATCATTAGTTCATACAAACACACAAACCCATTCGAAAGGTGAGACTTTATAGGGAATGGTTGCTTGTATTATCTGACTTCTCATGATAAAATAATCAATCCACGGATTCACAATTATTTCTCAGGACTTTTTAAGTAACCTAAGAAACAATCAACGATAATGAAATTAAACAAGACACGTCGGATATTTACAGACTGTATTTCAAGCTTTACATCAGGTTGGCGTGACAATGTTGAGTTTTAAACCACCAAACGTATTGGGTAACCAAAATTGAATCAACCTTTAGAAAGTTCAGCAATCTAAAGAAATATACAGATTATTCCTAAACATTCACATTCCATACAATCAAGCTAATTATGTACAACTGATAAAAATTTAAAGAGAAGTTCAGGGATTGATGAAAAACAGTCGCCACAAACTATTAAAATGGTCGAACAAAGTATGCACAGTTCTTACGGTATACTCAGACCAGGACGAATAACAATACACCGTAACTTATTACACAAGTACATCACTAACAAAAATGACGTATGTCGAATGATTTGGGGTGAAGAAGCCACAGGTTTTCGGAGTTTGACAACGCTTTAACCAGTAACACCTTCTAATATGAAGCGCACCCACCAAGTAAAATCAAAAGACAGAAGTGAGGAGATTGAAGATATATTTGATAAGCTATCAATATATCAAGGATCGTTTGCACTAATCTGGCTAGCGATTGAGGCAGATGTTGAGCACGGCGTTCCCACACATGATATGGTGCGGATGCTTGACCGAGCGCCTTCAGCTAGATGAGTCCACTAAAACTGATGTCAGCATCCAATGTCGAAAACTTACAGAGCTATTTGATTTTGGGGAATTATTTACCGCTACAGATCACTCCCCCCTATTGGGGCAGTGATGACCCTAAGACGTGGCCAGTCAGAAGTTTAAACCCAGTGAGTTGTTCGTTGGTAAGCGCTCTTCTGACAGCTCGCTAGGTTTAGCAGCGCCTGGTCGTCTTTCCTTACTATAAGGGACCATGATGTACAATATAGTAAAAAAAAGGTACAATGCAGATTTTCGTTTCTCGCAACTTCATCGTCTTTTCCAGTCGTCCTGGAAAAGAAAAGAAAAATATGTAAGTGCATGTCGGAATACACTCGTACGCGCGTGAAAACACAAAGCGGGCGAAAAACATGGAAAATAAACTCATGCTCACATAATAGCGTAAAAAAGGATTTTTATAATATCGTTATTTTTTGTTTTTTTCTTTTTTGAAATAAAAAAATAATAAAAATATGAAGCATATTAAATTCGGGTGTTTTTTAAAAGAAATTATATATAGTACAATGGAAAATCGAGACGATATAAAATGTCATCTAGTATCTTACGTGCAGTAATCGTTCAAATGTTCTGGAAATCTCACTCTTCTTCCAGAACGCGTTGTTTTGAGTTTATTTTCTGATGTCTCCGAAGTATCAACGTGTGTGTTGGCTGTCGATTGAGGTATTATAAGGGCAGGAGTTGTGTCGTGCTATTGTATTGAAGGAAAATCGACGTGAATAGGATTTCCTTCTAACTACGCTGCCTTGAGGCGATCGATGCTGATTCTATCGTTGGTTCCGTTCTTATCGATTATATAGTACTTAGGTTCGCGTTGAAGAACTTTGAAAGATCCTTCGTATGCTGATTCGAGAGGTCGTCGATGCGAGTCTCGACGTACGAAGGCGAGTTTTAAAAGGTCGATTCCTTGGGAACTGTTCAAGGAATTTATACGAGACAAGGCGTCTGCAACTACATTGTTTGCTCCAGAAATGTGTCGAATATCTGAAGTAAACTGCGAAATGTAGTCCAGTTGTCGAGACTCACGTGGTGAGTACTTGTCCGAAGAAGAGCTTAAGGAGAAGGTAAGTGGTTTATGGTCGGTAAAAATGGTAAATTCACGGCCTTCGATGTAGTGTTGAAAATGCCGGACAGCACGATACATATCTAGGAGTTCCCTACCGAATGTGCTGTACCTCGATTCAGTGTCTAGCAACCGTCTAGAGAAAAATGCCAAAGGTTGCCAGGAGTGGTTAACCCATTGTTGTAAGACTGCTCCGATTGCTGAGTCGGATGCGTCTACTGCGATGCTAATGGGCGCTTTAGGGTCCTGATGAGCAAGCATTGCTGCTCGGGCGATATGTTCCTTAACCGTGGAGAATGCTTTTCGGGTAGTGTCATCTAGATTAATGGATTTCGCATTTCCGCGAAGTTGGTCGGTAAGGGGTTTCATAAGTAACGCGCATTTTGGTATGAATCGTCTATAAAAACCTACCAGACCGTTAAACGTGCGCAATTGCTTGATGGTGGTTAACCCATTGTTGTAAGACTGCTCCGATTGCTGAGTCCGATGCGTCTACTGGCAGCTTACACAGAAGCGTGCCCACTCCCTCACGTCTGTATTCATACCAGGCCAGCAAAAAACCGTTCTGCTATAAGCTTGATGGTTGCACGAACACCTGGGTGAGAGTTTGTGCAACGTATTGAATCTGCTTGGTTTGTTCCATGGTCACATCATCTGGGCAACCAGAAGGCTGTACATAGGTGTGTTGAAATTTTGTAGGCTGTCACTTGGGCATGCTTATCTGTATGTAACTCATGGATCTGGGTTATGAGACATACCGAAATAGCTCCAAATATACGAGCTAAGAGTAGACAGTCTTCCCTATTAAATAACTGAAGGACAAGAGTCGATCTCTCCAAGAATGCTTAAACCTGTGTAGGCCTCGAGGTGCGTGAACGCCATGTAGTCCTAGTACTTAATAATGTACAAGACGTAGTAAATACGACTTTGCTAAAGAAATACTCCCAACTACTTTGGTAGTGGAAATTATTCCTATATATGCACAACGGATTGACCAGATAAACCAAAATATTACCGCAATTACTGTGATACTCTTAGATGACTTAAGGACATGGAGTATATCCCCACCTTATTGTCTTATACTTTTGACATGTAAGTTTGAGGAGCAATTACAAAATCTATCACCAAGTAAACCGTCTCGTTACATTTTTAACATACAATCAATGACCTCTTCACTTCTGGAAAATAACTAATAATCTAGGGTTGTGTATGTTCATCAGCAACATTTAAATTACAGAATAAACCAAATGGCTATATATTTCAAAGTGAATCTTCCTTATTAATCAGTGTGAGTAAATTGTCCAAGAAATAAATTTCGTCTGAGTAACCTCATCCTGTACTTGAGATTATTTATTTATTTATTTTAACACATAGGTATAGGTACAAAGAGGCACCAAGTACATATGCGCCACACGAATCTCAATTGATTTGTGTGAGGGCTGTGATACTGCCCGGGTGCCCAAACCGAAGCAGGTAGTTTTCTTAGGGGGCCACACCCCGAGCCTTTGACCTGAACGTCTAACCCACAAGGCAGTGGAGCATCGTGAGGAGATTGAGTCCCATGGTAGCCGGTGACCAACGATGGGTTCATACGCCATTTGATCCTTCAGGATACTGGGGCCCATGTGCACCATTGATTTGGGATCCGGTTAAAGCGCCGGACATCCGTTTTTCGTCCTCTCATTTTCGTAAACAACACCCCCACCACGAGAAGGCAGTGAGTAGGACTTCCCTGGCAGAGGCTGTATACGCGTGGCCATGTGAGAGCATTTCGAGAGGGAGAGCGGACACTCCCCACTCTCGGCCGTACCAGGGCATTCGGGGGCTGTACTTGAGATATCCTTATAAAACTACTGAAACATACCTGAAGAGAACCACCGGTATTCTTAACGTTCTTCACAAGTGTTGGCTGTACTAATAATTTAAGGAAATTTATTTGACAGCAATACAGTCCTCCCGAACAGTATGAAATGTCAAGTATAATTCTATGCAGTTAACTGTCTTCGTGTCTTAACTCCATGGATCCTGACAAGTGGAGAATTAATTGTGATAATCAATTAGTCACAAACACTTCCAAGTATGGCTCTTTTATGAACGACCCAAAGTACTTTTCGAGAAATCTCGATGCTTTCAAACTAACGTATTGACTACAATTTCATTGGTACATATTAGAGCTGAATATATTACCTAATGATGGTCAAATCAGATACATTTGGACTTACAGAACGACTTCGTTAACAAACCTAATCATAAAATCCACAACATAGTTTACTTTGTCTAATAAAGAGCTTAACAATTTTGCCCAGTAAACAATGAAACTAGTTTGCCGATTTCGGTACACACGTGAAATAATAGAAGTTTCGAACAAAAATGCGAACAACAATCGTTACTCTTCACTCAATTTACAACGACTGCTTTTAAAGTTCAGAACACTGGACCACTATCTGTTTCCCTTTTTTTGAATTAAAATCCTCATAAATATGTTTACGATCGGTGACGGTAGGCCGAAATTTAAGCATTATAACTAACATCTCTATTCATAAGATTTTCGAAACTGGCACGGCTCAATTAAGCAGTAACTGCAATAGATCGAAAAGATACTCCACTAACCACCCGACCCCCAACGAATACTTTTAACCAACTATTCTTGGTTAAACGAATGAATAAACTCAAACACACTGAGTAGATGTATAATTTTTAATTTAAAAAAATAAATCATAACACAACATTTTATTAACGAATGAAGTACACATGCGATACACATACGCATGGTAGGTAGATAGGATTAACAAATCCCTTTATAGTTCAAAGTTAGCAAAACATTTATATAGTTTGTTCACTTTACACCTTTTGATTAATTTTGATAAGAAAAGTGTAGTATCATGAAGATCTGGAAGAGAAAGTAGTTAAACAGAAGGGAAAAACAAAGTCAACTATATTTACGTGTTAAATACTAGCAATGTCCTTTTTTATAAATAATTAACATCATTTTAAGGAAAAAAACTGCAAATTACATAATTCGTGTTCATGAAAAAAGAGCTTAATATTTATTTCATCAAATCGATATTCGACAGAGAATAAACCCTTAAATTTCATTATAGATAGTAATTACTCTCAAGGTGCAATTATCAGTTTACTGTTATGAAATTAGGAGACGATTAAACAGATCAGAATTATTTATTTCGGATCTTTTTGAGAGTAACAGAGAAATTCGCTTAGATATATCTAACGTTCAAAAATATATTCGTGAAGTAAAAACATGACAAAAACAAAATTTGTCATACAGCTTAAGTAAATTGTTTGTAGAATAAATACCGCATGCATGTAACAAGATTTCGGTAATCAACTTTCATATTTCCGATAAATTCGCAATAACTGAATGAAAAATCTTAATCTGTTATGTATATCAATATCAGAGCTGCAATCATAGTGAAGTTAACTCATTTTAAAATCCTGATACTTTCACGTATTTATCTGTTCAGTCATATAGCTAACCAATATGAACTTCAAACTTTTTTACGAGAAAAAATAATCCCCACCTTATTACGTTAACTATACTCATGTAAAAGCATAAAAAATATGTACCATATAAGAACACATGCACTGCTACATAACAGGGCAGTAAGTCAGTCTTAAGTGAGTAAATAACTTCTGCCCCTTGGTCAATAAAAATCAGTCAGCTGCATCACGTGCAAGAAGCCGAAAGTACATTTTTTCAGTGCTGAAATTTTTAAGTTGTAAATTATTTACAAATGAAAAGCGAAATTAATGCAACGGGAATACTTACCTCGGATTTAGACCCGAAGCAACAAGACTGGCGGCGGCAGCAAGCCTAGCATGTACGCTATCAAAAGTACTGCTGGATACACCGGGGATGCAACCGCTGGTTGCGGGCGAGGGGGAACTGACTGTCTGGCCTCCTGAGCCTGAAGTAGAATTATTAGTACAATTGCCTGAGGCTGCACTTGTTGAAGACCCAGTGGTTGTACCTCCTAAGGATCCGGTTACGCCAGCCAAAGATGCAGCGTGTGGAGGGGGGAGAGGAAGGCCTAAACCAGCGGCTAATCCGGGAGGAAAGAAATTGGCGTACGCTGAAACAGGAGGAAGGCCAGCTAGATGTGCTGCGGCGGCTGCGGCAACAGCAGGAGGGGGAGGGAGGGCTGGAATTGTTGTTGGACCACCGCTGTTGGTGAGAATACCCCCACCACCGGCATTTGATAAACCTATCCCTGATCCACCAATAAGGTTAGCAGGGAAGGGGAGACTGTTAGCACCTACACCAAGACCACAACCTCCACCTGCAGCAGAAGAGAAAAGACCTGCTGAAAGACCAAACGCGGCAGCTGCAGCTGCTGGATGTAAACCACGTGCGGCGTTTTCTAATCCTGAAGCTACACTACTATTAAGGGCATTAACACCAGGTATACCTGCTCCAAGAGATAGATGATTGTTGTTAAGCAGGGGATTATTGTTGATATTATTGGATAGACTATTGTTGGAACAACCATGAGAAAATAATGACGAACCACCATTGGGCATAAATTCTTTATTGACGCAGTTTCGAAGACAGTCTGGTATACGATTTAAAATAGCTCTTCGGATCTCATTTGCAGCTGCCTCGCGCATTTCACGCATACTTGATTCACTGTAAAATGCCATATGAGGTGTTACAATAAGATTTGGAGCATCTTTTAAAGCACCTGTAATAATAAAATATTTATAAAAAATGAATTCATCATTTATTTCGGTTTGAAGTGGGATGAATTTTCAAGGTTGACAGAAATTTGGTTCGAACAAAATTACACACTATATTCTTAGATTCTAGTACACTACATTCAAGTATGTTTACGACCTTTTCCAGTCCAAGTCGCAAGAAACGGTTTTAATCTGTTAGACACATATAATACTATTGTTTATTAGAGTACATCAAATAGTCTACTTCTGGTTCAAGATAGTCCCTACCGTAATAAACATTTCAGGAATAAAATTGGCAATTTGAAAGTAGGTCGTTATCCGGACAGTCTAACAGCAGTATTTCAGACTTCACTGAATGACTTACATCCACATAAGAGACAGAATAGGTATTCCTTGTTGAAATATGGAGTGAAGCGGTGTCTCAGTGAGTAGGGTATTCGACTTTCAGTCACTAAGATGGAGGTTTGAACCTCGCTTCGTTCACTTTGATTTAAACAGCCGAGTAGTATCCCAATCTCTCGAACTTTAAGTACGGCTCAAAGCCGATTACACGTATCTGTACTACGTAGCTTGGTGCCGATTGCTCGCAATACTCCAACCACATATACAACCGGTTTATTATGACATATTAAAACAACACACTTCCCAAAAAACCTATCACTGATTTAAAGCATTGGATCAGTCATTATTTTTGACATTAATTTAACTGCAAAAGTCTCAACGATATATGAATTATACAGAAAATTATATAGCAAAATACTTACTATTACTCCAAACAAATGGTTCTGTCTCTGTTACATCCAATGCTGCAGCACGTATTCGACCTTCCTTAAGTGCAGCGGCAAGTGCTACTTCATCAATTAAACCACCTCGAGCAGTATTGATTAAAAATGCACCTAAAAAAGGAACAAACTTTAAGAAATTACTCGACTAATAAGTAAAATATTAACAACTGATTTTACAAAGTAATTACCCTTTTATCAACTTTTCTTTGTCTATCATCAAATTCAGACTGATAATTAAAAGTAAGTTATTGAGGCGCATTGTTAGTCTGGTAGTGAATTGTAAATAGTTTAGAAATTCAGTCAGCATCTGAGAAATATATGAAATAGGTAAAGTCCCCACACCATATAAGCACGGTAAGATGAAATTATTAGAACAAATCCCAAATAAGCAGTAGTAACACAACTAGTAGTAGCAGCGGTAGCAATAGTAGTAGTAAATGACTGATTGTAAATGATTGGTTCACGCTGGCTGTGTAACCCGTTTGAACTAAATGAGCTAGGATAGAACTATTGATCGTTTTAACTACTACTTAGCTTGGACACGCTGGAAAGCGTTCGCGAGCAAGGAAAGGTACGTTCCTAAAACATTTACCAGTGCAACTTGTTCTATAGAAGTAGTTTAGTGAATCGATACAAAAAAGGTGACTTCAGTACAGTTTGTTATGATTCAAAATTATATAAGTCTGTTTTCAAATGTAAAATGACTAACATGTTATCACAATGAACAAAATTAGTTATTTATCTTTCATCTAGGTTTACAAATAAATCATTTTTAAAAGCAAAACAACAATCAAGAAATGATTGTTCATATTATGACGGTAAAAAATATGAAACTTATTTTCTGCATGAAGCCAAATATTCGAAAAGAATACGGACAAATTATTAATTATGAAGAGTAATAATACTATATTATGTTATCTCTAATATAAATGATAATTGATACTTCCATTTCAAAAATCATACATTCATCTACAAAATTTAGCACATATCGACTTAGCCAGTTACAATGTACTGCGGCGCTTTTCATGTACTACTGAAAGACAGAGTCGATTTAATAGGATTTATTTAAAATTTATTGCATTTAGTTTAATTTCATTTAGTACTGTAAATTTAATGTTTTAGAACACATCCACATTCAATGGTTGTAGTTGCCTGAACGAAATCCCTTACTCCATCATCCAGAATCCAATCGTTGAATTTTGATCTTATTTACTATAATTTTTAAATGAATTGTAGATATACTATATATATATATATTCATAATATCGGTGTCGTTGGGTTCTTTGAGCTAGACAGTTTAATTGCGAAACTCCCATTGTCGTTCAAGACCACATCATTAGCGCTTACTTCATGTAGAAATGAGCTTCTTAGTTAACCCACGAGTTGTAAATCAGTTCATTCCGTTGCCCTTGTTTGTGATTGGCTATTGTCGTAGGCTGTTTTCATTATTTTCATTTGTCCCTGCATTCAAATCGACTCTTTTTTCCTGTCGACCTCTGACCATATCAATCGACATTCTTCGAACGGGTTGACAAATTGGGTCTAATTCGATATGCCCATTAAGTTCTAATTGATCTGAATGCCATGATTCCAGAAATTCCTTGACATTACTGGAATGCTTTCGATTCAGAATTCTGATATATTCCCAGTTGGATTCATGCCCGTCGTTGTCTACACCAATTAATATGAATGAAAGTTTTGAAATAAAACTGTCTAGCGCAGAGAACTCTAAAACACAAAAATTAGTCAACTGAGCTGAAAAATTTCCTCATCATTTCAACATCTATAGTGTGAATATCTTACCCGGTCTCATTAGCTTTATTGTATGCTCATTGATCATATGGCGATTTTGCTCATTAAGCGAGCAATGCAAAGTGACACAATCACTTTGAAATAGTAGATCTTGAAGACTGTAAACACGTTCGATACCTAATGAACGTTCGATTCCATCTGGAAGATAAGGATCGTAAAATGTCACATGAAACCCAAAAGCTTGGGCTCGTAATGCAACCGCCGTTCCAACTCGGCCTAGAAGCAAGCAAAAACAAATAGATATGGATAGATAGACCGATTAACACGTATACAACTAAGAATGTTAGACCTATGTAAATATCTAGACCATTGTAACAAAATATTTGCAGCCAGAGAAGACACAGTTGAAATCCTCCAAAAACAATAACGATAAATCAAATAAAAATTATTTAGATTAGCACAGAGAAGTTTCACTTCTGGATGTATTTCAGTGATGAATGATTACACGTGATATGAGAGATCAAACAATACTAGAAATATTATTATGCCACAATAATGAAACATAAGAAACGCATCATTAGTAATCTGTATTCTTTGTACTAAAAATGGATGGTCAATTATTATTCCATTTACGTATTAAATAGTTCTCGCAACGAGTATAGATTAGACATGATTAATCAACATATACATCGATATAAAACTAGTTTTGCCTCATTATTTAAAAAATTCGCTTTGTTTTTACTCACTATTTCTAAAATTAGCGAATTTTTAATGAATCTATAGGACGATATAATTGAGGTTGATGGGGAGCCAAATATTTGTAACAAAAATTGAAACAACGATCTGTCAATATCTGAATCTTGCTATGATTCAGATTTTCGTTTAACTTTTAGTTATCACGATCACTACAAGACAAAAACCACTCAACCAAACAAGACTGTATCTACTAGAAATGGTGCATCGATTTAGATAATTACGTTATGTAATGGTAAGGAAAATAATGATAATTTAAAAATACTAAAATTTACAAAGGTTCGAGTAGAAAGTTATATGTTTAACACAAACAGAAAAAAAACAGTAAATCCGTTTACAACATTGCCAGTAACTTTAAATGTTATTAACGAATAAAAAACTACTTGTCTTCATCATGAGAAAGACCCCTAAGAAGGTACAATGTAAAATGTTAGTAATTCTGTACTATTTCCTTATACATCAAATATGATTACATCTATTGTAGTGTTCACACTGAGATAATCGCAAAAGTAACACAACTAGGAACTTGTGTATTACTCGGAAGGCTTCACGGAATACAAAAAGCCTATTTCCTTAGAAGACTGAAAGCAATAAAAAAGTTAGCTTGAATTATCACCATAATACATCAAAATCAGTTGATATCTATTGGCTTTTATAAAGATTTTATAAGAAAGAGTAGGGAAAGACATCTAACAGACGTTTGGTAAGTAAATGCTCACAATACACTTGATTTGTCCATCCATGTGTTTGTGCTCAATTGGATTTCTTTGATCTGCCTAGGTATAGTTGTGATAACCATATATGAAGCGGCATAATACAAAATAAGATTGACAGCATAAAATTATCCGGCTGTAGCTTACATTCAGTCACATTCACGTATATAGTGGATTCGTACTTTTAATCAATACTTAACAAATACCCCGAACTTACTCAAGCAATAATAAAATTACTATATATAGCCAGTAATGCTGTACACCTCATCTGTACAACAAGGCAACCTGTATTCTCAAAACCACACCGGCTAGCTCCAGAAAAGCTAAGAATTACGAAATAGGGATTCTATCAAATATTGAATTTTGGAATCTTCATATATATATTTTCCAGTACGATATAAAATGAGGATAAAGACAATCGGAGAGTAAAATTGTACTCAGTTATTGATTATCTATATTCACCATATGGTACCCTAATATAAAAGTAGATACACGAATGCTAGGTTAATAGAAATGTTAGCTAATGATTAACTTCTAGCTAGGAATATAAAATTGGTCTCACGACGCTGCTACATAGAATTTAGCTTAGTAAACTATCGATAACTTTCCTGACCTTGTTAATGCCAACAGACACTTCTAGCGGAAAACGTTCAGCTAAGCATCCTTACAATTTTCAGTTACGTAACACGTGGGATGTCTTTTTTGTCCTCTAGGTACCATATTCGTCTACCATTATCCGTAATCAAATATATGACTCCTTTAGACAATTATCGTCCTCTTTCTCGTTTTCAGGGTTAAGTGTTCAAATATTTGGTAAGTATTATTAAATTATAACGTATCAAGTCAACCATCAGGAAAGTTCCTCCACGAGACGGTGAAATCTTAAGCCAAAAAGCATTTTTGTGCCTAGTTATTTACGCTATCTCCCTTTGTTTACCGAAAAAAGGTACTTTATGAGGCCGGTAGTTAGTGTGATTATCGACGAAGCTGAGTGGGTAATTCTTAATGTTAACTATAACTCCAGCCAAGATACTTCCAAGATTAATCAAACTGCTGCAAAAGTTCAGGTATTTTAATATTTAACTAAGTCTAAATAAATGTTTATTTCCTTAATATTACTAGTATGAAGCTACGAGTTTAGAGCAGAGGAAACAGCGCTTCACTATATTTTTCCTTGAAAAATCTTCAAAACTAGATTAGATTTAGTCTTGACAAACAATCGAACTAATGTAGGGCTTCTTGTAGTGCTGGATTGATTTGAATTTCCATAATGAGTATCGAAATAACTGAATCTACCTCATAGTTCAGATGAATATCTAGATACTGATCTACTCGGAATTTATCAGGGTTAAAGGTAACTGGTTTCCTATTCAAACCATAGTAAATCCAGAGACTTAAGTGTAACTGAATCTCAGAAAGCTTACGCGAAAATATTAAGCTTGACTGATAACCCTAACGACAAGCCAACTACACTACGATGAGTTGAACCCGGATAAGCATGGTTTTTATATCAGTCAGTCAGCTACAACGTAGTTATTGTTGAGTTGATCTCGTCAAATACATTTGGAACCTCCACGTTTTTTGTGAACACAATGAGGTATTTGATTTATCGGAAAAGATGTGATGTTTCGGTTTATCTATTACACAGGACAAGTAAAAAAAATAGTATAGGAAATTTGTGAAGATTGTTCAGTTTGAAGATAGTTCATCGGTTAGTCTCTCCATTCTCGGTCGTAACAGGGCATTTGGGGTCCACCAGGCACATATATGAATAGGTTCAAATTGTCATACCTCATTAGCACAACAAGATCACCAAATTCGTAGAAGCAGTTACTTCAGTAGTGGTATTATATAAAAGGAAGATTGTATATGAAGATATGATATTGGGAGAAAGAATTAATTAGTAGAAAGAAAGGTATAAAGTAATTTTAATCTTAGTTTAAGAGAAGACAGAGTATATACACCGACGCTATTGTGATCGATTCTGAGACATGTCACCAAGTCTCCAACTATTGGTTACGATAGTCACGCGGACCCCAACCAAGTAGTCTGCATCTACCAACATGGCTCAGACCAGATATTAATGTCTTCAAGCACTGATGCCACATTTTGGTTTGGCGAAATGAACTGCCGCGCAGTATACTCGTCCATTAATTAATAGACGGATATCTTTCCTTCGCCATAAGTGTCGTAAGTTGGCACGAGCCAAACGAACTTTAGAAACTGTGCTGAGATTTCGTCAGACACCAACCTATTAGGGCTGATCAGACTTCCAAGATAAGTGAAGTTGTCAACGCGTTCGACTACTTCACTTCCTATCCTTAGTTCAGGTGTTGACGCACACTAGTCCTGAAGCAACAACTTGCATTTAGATGGATAGAAGCGCATCCCAAACATTCTGGCATTGTTGCTCAGTGCTACCAAAAGACTGCATTTTATTAGCGTCTTCACCAAACAGGACTATGTCATCTGCGTATTCTAAGTTGATAAGTGGACCTCCTGGTAGATCAATGCAAGCCATCAACCTATCAGGACTAGTGAGACTTCCAAGATAAGTGAAGTGGTTACCATCCGCAGTTCAAGCGCTGACCCGAACCAGTCCCGAAGTGATATTTTGCAATACAACTAGACGATTTTATTTTATTAGCATATTCGTCAAACAGGACTGTTATTTAAGAATTCCTAGTCGAAGAATGAACCATCTAGAAAATGATTAATCCTTGAAAAGTTGGAAGAAAGCGTTATCCCTAAAAGTGTGTAAACAACGAAACTAAATAGGATTGAGGTTCGCAGTCCCGACAAGAGTTCATCATAAGCTCTGACTCAAAAAATAGTATTCAAGTAAAGAGCCCTCACAAGGTTTATGTACTTTTTTTGTACATCCAAAGAAACTCTGCAAGCGGAGCCGAATGCCACTTAAAAGTTAGGAAATACCTCTACTGTCAAAAGCCAGAAAGTATTCTTCTGTTTTAAAACCTGACAACGAATGAATACTTATTAACACATCCAGGTTTGAAACCACTCGGGTTTTCCCGAGTTTGCTGTTACCAAGCCCCAGATACGGAACGGGTGATTATAGAAGGCAACGAATTGGTCGAATCAACTTCTCTATGACTATCATAAGAGGATTTTTGTCCTTTTTCATAAATTGGTGGGATCAGCAAACGACGCCAGTCAGATGGGATTACGCTCAACTCCCAAACTAACTGATTATTGCTTTAATGGAAGTAGAGGATTTGCATACATCAGAAATGGTTCTTGCTTAATAGAGTATATCGATCAATAACAGCCATACTGTGGTGTACAAGTATACTAGCTAAGTCTATTCTTTGATGTAAGTATGAAAAGACCTCATGAATAAGATTTCTTGGGGTTAAATCAATTTTCATACGATGAATTCCAGAAAGCACAGTTAGCTAACAACTTACAACATGAAACAAACATGTATATGAGAAGAGCGGTGGCTTAGTAACTAAAAGTACTTGGTCGTTATTTCGAATCCCGACCCACCTACTCCAGTTTTTGTTTCCCCAGCAGCATTTACACTTAGGATCACCATATCGAGAAGAGGAACAGACAAGACAAAGAAAATAGTAGTATATATATAGAATGCAGATCAAAACAAATAGATGAAATTAAGAAACGATGAGTTTAAAATAACATCAAAACTTAAATGTTAGAGAATGAATACATTTACCTGATCACAAATTACTTTGATCCCTATAACCCAGGGTCACGATTTCAAACTATAAGAAAAACAAGAAACTCTGGAAACTGTAGCTTCATGTTTAGTTTCATTCTACCCCTCACCGACCGAAGATCCAAACCCATGAACTTACAGCTTATAAATATTTTAGGTGGATAAAAGTAGTATAAAATGTCCATCACATTTTACTTCAAGATTTGCAGCCATCTCAGAAGGTATGGTGAGAAATCATACCAAGTAAACATATCTAACGATTTATCGAGGTTACCTTGTACTTGAAAATCTTCCTGGGGATCTATAGGAGAACATATCCAGATAATGCATGCGACAGGGTAATTACAAGTAATCGATTATAGCTAGTTTCAAGTCCTCGCGTATTGTGAGAATACTGAGCGAATGATGTTGAAATGGTGTGAGGTAAGAAACAGTAAACCAGTTGATGAGGTAGCAAATAGATTAGTAACAGACGTATTACATGCAACAACATCCAAGTGATATATTACAGAATTAGGAAAAACCACCTAGACATATATGATTTAGAACCAAACGAAGGACAACTGGTTAGTAAAGCAATGGTACAAAGAGAAAAATGTTTCTAGAATCAAGGGAAAACTAGCTGAATGTGACAATCCTTTTTAATTACACTAAGAATATTAACGATTACGAAACAAAAAATCATAGTCATAATGCTCAGGACATGAAGGATGAAAACACAATGCACCTGGACAACGCATCATATCCAAACAGACTTATTTCAATAGATAGTCTTGGTCAAAACTATGTCCCACATCTTTAACTAAGAGTAAGTAACTTCACTTGGAATTCACCTAGATGATTCCTTTACACTATTCATACACTAATGTTCGTTAGACGATGGAGAACAAGTTAACTCCAGCTCTTTCGGCTTTGTGTTGCAATACAGAATATGGTGAAATGTACAAGTATGAATACAACTTTTCCGACACTTAACTGCACGAAGAAGATAATCAATCAAACAAGCTTTGAAATTGTTACTTATTCATTTCAGATTTCAGCTTTGATATCTTAATAAAGAGCTTAGCAGTGCAAATACGTCTAAGTACTTAAATGGACTAAAAATCAAAAAGTAGATAAACTAATCAGTAGTTTTTTCATTTTCGACAATATCATTATAGACTTACCAAGACCAACTATCCCAAGAGTATCACGTCGTATTCGAGCAGACCCGTTTGCAACTTCCTTTAAATGCTCAGGTCCATTAATCCGTTTACCCATTTGTAGGCTGTTTGCTAACCAATAAGTACGTCGGTATAAAGTCAGAATGTGGCAAAGTGTCGTATCTGCAGACTCCTCAACACCAAATCCAGGAACATTACAAACAGCAATCCCAAGTTCCCCAGCGGCTTTTATGTCAATGTTGTCATAACCGCTGAAAAAAGTATTAATTTATAGGTAGAATTAGTAACATGTAAACAGAAAAAATATTACCAACGAACCAAGAATTCAGAATTTCAACAGACTATACATATGCAAATAAACATAAACCCACCTGCCTATCCTCACGATAATCTTTAGTGATTTGAATTTTTGAAGGTCCTCCCGCGTTAAAGAAATGGTATGCCACATTAAAGCTCCAACAGCTTCTTCAAGGACTTTTCCGTGAATTTCACTGGTGGATGAAGCATCGCAGAAAGCAACTGTGGCCACATCTTTTAACAAAGGCATTTCAATAGTGCAGTCCCGACCATCAAGCAGTGCAACAAGTGGTTTCGCTGGTGGAGGTCCATTAGAAGAACGATGAAGTGACATTAGAAATCCACAGTTAATTAAGAGTTATCAATCCAATATAATAATGCTTAAGCTAACAGTTAATTTTAACAAATTAATACGAGTAGGAGGACACGAGAACAGTGACGCAGCAGAATGACAGGCGAAGTGATATTTTCATTTTCAAGTAAATCTCTAGTTTGCCGAGGGTCTTTAACATATATGTTAATGAGCCATTTGGTCTACCCCCTATTTTGATTGTTCTGCCGCCTAAAAGCACTAGCAAATCGAAGTCACGCAAATTGTTAGGGTGTGTGAACATCTACCAGAGCAAAACTCAATTGGAGGTTTATGATTTCCACATCATTAGGAGAATACTGGTTAGTCATCTTACTACTTTAACACAAGTATACGGTTCTTGCTCTCCCCTCTTGTAGTGGTGTTGACCTTCCGAGTTATCGATTTTCATACCCAGAACAGCCACAAAGCAATATTTATTGTTTGTTAGTCTCATTTCGGTCTAATGCGTTTATAGAGGTTAGTGATAACAAAATTTTAATGTGGTGTGTCTGCCCTCATCACTTGCATCACATGTATTTTATATGCCCGGTATAAATGAGAGAGACGAAAATTAACACTAGGGTGATAATTATTATTTTCTTACTTAATCGCATTATGTGACCTGAGATTGTTGTTTATTTAACGCAGTTGTTGATAAACAAGAACTTTTATTTGCAACTTAATAAAATATTTTAGTATACCAACCATAACCGAGGAATAGAAAACTTTATAAGCTCACAAACACTGATTTTCATTAAATTAGATAAAATAGATGTATAAATAAGAAAGATTGGTTTAGCTAAGAGTTCTCTTTCCGGCGAATTCATTTTTAAATCTGTACAAGCGCAAATATATACTTATTTTTCAGGATGATAATTGCAATAATAATGATGATAAACTTCTGCTAGACATGGTAACAGTGAGGTAGAATAAGCAATGATATTCGAAATTCCTTTTTTAAAAGCAAGGAAACTAGTAATAGTTTGATTGTTAATGGCTTAAATATTCATCGTAAAGATAGATAGGGAAACTATCATTGGGAATTTATTTTATTTATTATTTATTTGAACACATAAATACTGGTACAAGAGGGCACCAAATATATGTGCGCCACACAAAACCATGAGAATTTGAAGAGAAGAGAAAAACAAAAAGGGGGGTAAGGAGCGTAAAAAAAGAACAATAACGAACAGATTAGTGTAAGATAGTGTAATAATAATAATAATAATAATAATAATAATAATAATAATAATAATAATAATAATAATAATAATAATAATAATATTAATAATAATAATAATGGGGGAAACAGAAAGGTACAATCAGAAGAAATCTTTCAGTTAAGGAAGATACAACCACTTTTTATAAAGAAAGTAAAAGAAGGTTACAGCAGAATCACCACTGGCTTCTATTCTGAGCCATATCTGATAACGTCTCTAGCCACTGTGTTGCACCATCCCTCAGACCCCAGCCAGCGAGTCGTGAAGGACCAACAGAAGCCAGCCCTTTGCAGCTTCCTTTCATACCACAACACTATGTCATACACTGACCACCTCTCCGCTTTTTCCAACCAGTCCCAGAGTCGGCAAATAATGCACGACGTGGAATTCTCGGGGACGACATTCGTAGAACATGTCCAAGCCACCGAAGACGGTGTTTCAAGATGGTGACACCAATTTCATTATCGTCTCTGTGACCGAACACTCGATGCCAGACCTCTGCATTACTGACATGGTGTTGCGACTGGATGTCAGCAATCCTTCGGACACGGCGATGATCGAACACAGAGAGTCGTCTAACATCCTCAACTCGGAGAGGCCAGGTTTCACAAGCATAGAGCAAAACTGCTCTCACCGTCGCGTTGTAGATCCGACCTTTTACAGCCAGACTAACATCACGAAGGCGCCAAAGATGGTCCAGATTGGCATAAGTCGCTCTGGCTTTCACTATACGTGCATTGATCTCATCACTCACACCACCACCAGCACTTATGCAGCTACCCAGATACACGAACTTCTCGACTACTTCTATCTGCTCACCATCCAGAGTGAGTACAGGATTAGAATCCTGCCAGTCTTGTAGAAGTACTTTGCACTTCGAAGGGGCAAAGCAGATACCATACCTACGGACATTGATTGCCACCTGATTAAGTGCGGATTGCATGGCTTGAACATTCTCGCACAGTAAGACAATATCATCCGCATACTCAAGGTGGAGAAGTTTTTCTCCAGGCAACAGATCCACACCTCCATTACTTACATCCATCAGAGCTGTTTCCAGAATGTCATCAATGGCAAAGTTGAAGAGGAATGGTGAGATTGGGTAACCCTGCCTAACTCCACTGCTCGAATGGAACAGTGGAGAGAGGTAGTTGTATGCCCTCACTCTGCCTGAGGTGTTTGTATATAGAGCTTTTAGGATGTTAATAAACTTCTCAGGCACACCCTTCTTCAATAGACAATCCCAGAGAACAGTCCTGTCCAACGAATCGAAGGCATGATGAAATGTTGATATCATTGGGAAAGGATGGCTCAGCATGATAAAATAAAATTGTACAGCTTTGAAAATGAATTCACTGAAAAGAAAGCTCTTCGCTGAACCAATCTTTCTTATTTAATAAATAAATGATATATTTGTAATATCCCAATGAGTAGAGAATTAGATTTTCTGACGTTTCGTGACTTAGTGTAAGTCACTTCTTCCGTTTATTAAATGCATAAATCACTACTTTATCTAAATTTGACATCAACAACTAACATCACCTGAAAAACTCCTAGAATGCGAGTATCGGTGAACAATCGCTCCATTTAATTACCAATCGTCTCAACAATACACCCCATCCCGGGGATAATTGGATCATCACCAAAACACTAAGTGTCATAGCATGCAATCACATCATACCGTGACCTTTATTCCTTCCTATCAGGATTATTGGATGCTGGAAGCTTCAAGTCAAAAGCGCTAAAACAACATATTCGCCACAATGTTGAAATGATTCACATTCCATTATCTCTATCGGTTATCACTACTAATCTGAAACAAACAACAGTTCCTCCTTAGTTCTAAATCTTTCTCCTGGTGATGGACCCGTATATACTTACTTTGTTCGCTTTCTAGTCAACAATATGGCAGAGGAAACTCATAATCTACCTTTATTCCATGCTCAAAAATATTTGTTCATCAGTTTTACCAATAAAGTGGCACGATACATTTGATCCGGTGGTTCATGACAAACTATTATTCAGTGTTGTTAAAATGATTTGCAGTAAGTAATTTGATCATAACAGAACACAACAACTGAGGAATGATAGACATCAATGTTAATTTTTTGATTGTTAGTGTATAACGTTTAACTGAATCAATTAATCATCAAACAAACAAAAGCTCTCAAACGAATTCAATGCCTAGGAGTTTATCTTAGTTATGGAAAAAAAAACTAACCATATCAGTACTGTTGTTGAGTTTTCTTGTTTATATCTTTTATCACTACATTTTAAGAAATTTGACATTAGTATTTTAATGGTAACTACAATATGACATATTTTGTGGATTTAAACAGAATATTATTTATGTTCAGTTAACTGAAAAAAATATAATTTTCAATCTAATACTAATCATTCACTGATTTTTGTTGCAATGTACACTAAGGATTTTTACAAGCATACTACAATGCGGTTTGTTTTACTTTCACTACTTATACAAGAAAGTGATTTGATCAATTCGTAAGATTTTCAATATTTGACTAACCATGATAATTAGAAGTATTCGAATTCATGTACTAACTAAGAATTCTTGAAATAGTGTAATTTAAGTTAGGTAGAAATAGATGAGGGCAATCAAGTACAAAGGAATCATTAATTCGTGCAAATACCACATTAACCCAATAAGTAAATTGATTTATTTGAGCGTTTAATAGATATGGAGAGAGAAAGAAAGGAGATAATTGAGCTACTTCCTGTTCATTTCAATTGATACTGTCCATTAAACACTGACCTTCATCAAACAATTACTGAAAATTAAGAAGGACTGAACAGTTGTTTTCTTCTAGTATAGGACTCTCCAGCAGTGGGCATACATAACTTTGCAGAGAATCAAACTTAGGACCATTTAAGTAATGCGACGAACAATTACCATTTAGACCGCTAAATCAGTATCCAATGATTAACATTTATAGCTTCAATTAATACTCGATGTGGCCAAATCATCGTTCAGTGCCGTTGCTGGGTAACAATTACATATTAAACATTACTGAATTCCCATTTGATTTCAATATTTAACACTAATTTATTGATTTAACAAAGTAGTATTCTCGCCCTAATACAAGTGTTCATATAAACTATTATGTAAATCTAAGTTATAAATCTCTCGTACTGATTGGTGCTTTTTGCCTACTTATCAGTCCAAATAACCTAACATAAGCCTGAGAGTCACTGAAAGCACGAAAGCTTTGTATAGGTGTTTCATACAACTTTCAAGAATGGAAAATAGCTTACACTGACAACCAAACTAGGATATGAGCCAAAATATTTAAGCCTTACAACAAGAATGATTCTCTCTGAGCGGTGATTCTGAGTTCTTTGGTCCACATGTTCTTCTGATTTGTAAACAATATAACTTGATATTTTTACCCAGAGTCATAAGTAATTCACTTGTAGTGGCTTGGCTTCGAGATAATTCCTTTTGCTTCGTTTATCAACCATCCTAATAATCGTTATTAAATATGGATTAACAAAGCAATACAAAGCGGCGACTACAGTTTATTACTGGATAGCACAGATAACAAGATAACAAGCACAACGAACGAATCTGAGCATAAAGGCTACTGCGCTCAAGCAAATGAATACGTAGGTGGATTCAGAGTCAAATTTAATGAAAGCGAAGAGAAGCAAGGCAAAGCAATTTATAAGATTCAAGCATATATATATATATATATATATATATATATATATATATAGTGATATTTAAGCGATCAACATTTAAGTTAGAGAGAGATATGTGATCAACGTATACGTTTATACAAACATAAAGGTGATCATAATAATACAAAGAAATAGACAAATTATTACTGTTCGAATAACACTGTTTGTTAAATATGTTAATTAAAGGGTTGACAAAATTAATTGTAGGAGGGTTGCTATACTC